CGGTACATGGCTTCAGCAGGGTGCTGTGATGGCGAGATGACACGGCGCGTGGCGTCTCACACGTAGGAATCCCCACGTCTCAGTTTCTGCTGTTGCCATTTTCATATGGCTAACTAGGGGCCCTTTTTAATAATGACTTTATTAAGATTCACAAACCATAAATTTCAGTGTCTTTAAAGTATACAATTCAGTGGGTTTTTGGTATATTCACACAGCTGTGTAATCACTGCTACCTAATTGTAGAACAGGCTCGTCACTCCGGAAGGAAGCCAACCCGGCAGTAGTCACTCTCCGCCCTCCCCGCCCCCATCCCCTGGCAGCCACTGATCTCGTTTACTGTCTCAGTAGATTGACCTGTTGTGGACATTTGTCATGTAGTAGGACCAGAATGGAGCACACAGGTGGTCTTCTGTGATCCTGTTTGCCTGTAACGAAGGATTCATCCCTGCTGTAGCATTGGAATTTACGGGAACTTCATTTATTGTGATTACTGAATAAGACTCCCCACCCTGGGTTTTTATTCATTCGTCACTTGATGGACATCTGCATTGTCCCACATGTTGCCTATTAGAAATAATGCTGCCGTGAGCATTTGTGAACACGTTTTTGTGTGCACGTATGTTTTCATGGCTCCTGGGTGTATAACCGGATGAATAGTAGAATCGCCAGGTCATTTGGCAACTACGTGTTTAATCTTTTCAGGAGCCGTCAAACTCTTCCAAAGTAGCTGGCACCATCTTACAATCCCATCAGCGACGTGTGAGGGTTCCGGGTTTTCTACCCTCTCCCAACACTGTCTGTTCTGATTTTAGCTGTCCTTTGACTGTAATGTGTATCCCATTACATTTTTGATTTGCATTTTCTTAATGACATATGGTGTTAAACACCTTTTCAAGTGCTTCTTGGCCAACATATATCTTCTTGGGAGAAATGCCTGTTTAAATCCTTTGTCTATTTTGAGTTTGATTGTCTTTTTGTTGAGTTGTAAGGAGTTCTTTATATGTTATGGATACAGGTCCTTTATCTGATATGATTTGCAGATATTTTCTCCCATTCTGGAGTTTGTCTTTTACTTTCTTCATGGTATCCTTTGAAGCAGAAATTCCCACTTTTGATAAAGTCCAAGTATCTATTTTTATTTTTGTCAGTAAGAAAGCATTGCGTGATACAAGGTCACAAAGATTTACTCCTATTTTATTTAAATTTTTTTTAATGTTTATTATTTATTTTTGAGAGAGAAAGAGAGCGAGAGCATGAGGGGGATGGGGGCAGAGAGCGAGGGAGACACAGAATCCAAAGCAGGCTCCAGGCTCTGAGCTGTCAGCATTGAGCTGGACACAGGGTTTGAATCAGGAACCGCGAGATCATGACCTGAGCCAATATCAATAGTCAGATGCTTAACCTAATGAGCCACCTAGGCGGCCCTGACTTAACATCATTTTTCAGTGCAAAGGTCTGTGATCTCAAACATACTCACACATTTGTGGGCCGTCACCACCATCCGGACCAATAATTCTTTACCTCTTGTACTATCAGTCAAGTTTAATAGGAAATCTGCCCCTTAATTACTTTATAGTAATAAGCAGTGTGTTTAATTTGTGTTCATGCGAAAGACATGAAAAGGACTGAAAGGATAAATCAGTACTCAAATTTTTCATAGTACAAGTAGCTCTGAGCCTCTATGTTCCAATGCCCTGATTTGTGTGTGCCTTGATAAGTAGAATGAGCAAGTATTCCTCTCTCCTGCATTCGTTTGGCCTGCTGATAAGATTTTTGCTGCAAACAGATATTTTAAAAGACCTGGGAGATGTGGTTTAGTCCAGGTTGTTTGCTTTGAAATCAAACTTTTGAGATTCCCTGCCCCCCCCTTTTTAAAGTAACTTTTGTTATTCTTATATAAGGTGTGTGTGTGTGTATATGTATGTAGCCGTTACTTTTAAAAGCAGTGGGGAGGGGCACCTGGGTAACTCAGTCCGTGCAGCATCCAACTCCTGATTTCAGGAAGGGTCATGATCTCATGAAGTTGTGAGATTGAGCCCCGAGTCAGGCTCAGTACAGAGCATAGAGCCTACTTGGGATATTCTCTCTCTCTCTCTCTCTCCCTCCCTCCCTCCCTCTCTCTCTCTCTCTCTGCTCTTCCCCTCCCCCATCCCCTTTTTAAAAAAGCAGTGGGGAAATATTGAAGGATTTTAAGCAAGACTCCAGTAGAAAAAAATGGATTGGAGAAGTTCATGGCTAGAACTGGGTAGACCAGTTACAATATGGATGCAAGATGATAGTGGTCTGGTATAGAAAGCTGGTCATGTTTTCCTGATGAGCATTTCCTGTTCTGCCTAAATCATGGTCAGAATAATGGCCCCGATGACCACAGGCCCACCTAGGAGAAGAATTGACCTCAGGACCCTGTCATCTGCTCTTTTCTCTCTGGGACCCAGCCCTCCTCCAAAGCTGTAACCCACAACTGTCCCTTATTAGTGGTTGTATGGGGGGATACATTGGGAAGATCAGGGAAGCAGGGTGTTGGCGTGGGCCACACATTGTTGGAGTCACTTTGGGGTCCTAAGTAGTTTTGGAGTAGAGAAGATCCAGGTTGAGTGGAGGGCTTAGGGTTGGGAGTGAGCTGCTGTGGCCTGGCGGTTAGCTGTTGTGGAAGGGGAAGACGGTGCTGGAGGCAGAGCTCAGGTAGTTTAGGGCACAATTCAGAAGAGTTGAGGTTAAGAACATCGAGCTGGTCGGAGGTGGGCACTGGGCGGTGTTGGGCACCACATGGTGGTCAGTGTCGGGGGGTGACGGCTGCTGGGAGGTGTGAGTTGCCAAGACCACCCCCAGCTTCTCATTCCCTAGGAGGACTTCGAGGTCAGCAGAGTCGTACTTCGGCCACGATGCATTCCGGCGGAAGGAGGCCGCGCTGGATGAGCCCAGGGGGAGGCGGCTGGCAAAGCCGAGCAGACGAGGCACGGCTGCCGAGTCCTTTCCGGGTAGAAGCACACAGGGCACAGTTCCTTCCGCAGGTTGTGACTGTGTGCATGAAGTGTTGCCGCCAGGGACACTCCTTAAAGGCACGGTGCCTGGAATTGGGGTCATGTAGCCTTCATTTGCTCAGCATTGCTGAAATTCCAGATACCCAGAAGGAAAGCAGGTGTTCAGCCTAAACCATGCATGCTATTTGTATAGTGTAGACGCAGTGAGCCACTCCTCCCGTTTATGGGGTGCTGGGGACCCTCCTGCAATCCAGGTTCCCGGCCGGCCGCTCAGGGGCCAGCAGCCCGAGGCCTGGCCGTTCGCCCCTCGGCGCAGTCCTGGCCGGTGGCGTGGGAGGGGTGTGTGGCCATGGGACACAGGGTTCAGAACAGCCGAGGAGCAGGAGACCACAGGGGCCTCCCGTCTGCCTGCGGCCTAAGGGCACCATCACCGTCAGGCCTGGGTGCTCGCGCACGGCCACTGCCTGCTCGCCCAGCATCCAGGAAAGTGCGGTCAGTGTTGTGCGACAGCATCCTGGGGCTCCAGGACCGAGTGAATTTGGGTTAAAATGAAATACCTTTCCCTGGTTTTTCTCAACGACTTCAAATATGAAACATGCAGTGTGTTGTAATCGTTCAAGAAATGAATGGCTGTTCAGCGTGTCTCCGATTTCTCAGCCAAGGAGGTGGGTGCATCTTATGACTAGTTTGCATTCACCCAACTCCTTTTGGGAACTGCTGCTTTATAGACAGACCGCTGGTTTTCAAACATGGCCCGGAGCCCTGGAGTGCCACGGGCAGAAGGGACCCGCCTCAGTAGGGACCATGCCCGCCTGGCCCATCCCTGGGTGTTGTGCGCCACGCGGCCTGTGGAAGCACATCACGTGCTTTGAATGACTGGTGGACTTGAAATTCAAAGGGGTTTGTGTCATCTCTTTCCTGGGAAGCCCCCCTCCCCCCCAGGACACCTTGTTCACAGGGTCTGACACACAGCAGGCTCTCAGTCACTGCTGGGGCTTCAAAGATTTTGGCTGTAAGAAAGGTGAAAATTACTAGCCAAAAGGAGGTGAAGAGTTACCTGGAGATTAGATTTAATTATGTTATATTGAGAGTCGCATTTAAGTATTTTAAACATCTTTCAGCTCTCAAGATTAGGGTTATTTTTCTGAGATATTTCCAACATACAAATGAATTTAAAAAAAAAAAACAAAAAACCACACAAGATACAAAAGTAATGCCTGTCCCCATTATCCGGCGCGAGAAATAGATCATTCCCACTCTTGCTGTCCGTTGCACAGTCCTTCCCTCCGGTCTGAGAGTCAGCCGTGTTCTGCGGGTGCTGATCCTTCACCCGCCTCTCTCTTCGTGTATCACTACGTGTATGTGTGGTCCGCAGTGAATGAATGAAGTTTTACATTTTTGAATTTTATATTAATTACATCATGCTGCATAAAGCAGTTTATACGCAGTGTTACTTTTTGAGATTCATCTGCCGTGCGTGTAACTGCAGCTGCCCCTGTGATTGCTGTGCGGCCGCCCACTGCATGCCCACACCGCCTGTACCCGCCCCTCCATCAGTGGAGATTTTGGCTTTTTACAGCTATTGATGATTCCTACTGTAATGTGAATGGTGCTATACATATTTCCCAGTGCACATGCGTAAATCTTTTCTAGAATAAATACCAAGAAATAGAATACATGAGTCATAGACCCAAATACTTCCCCCTTTATAAGATAACGCCAAATTCGTTTTCCAAGATAATTGTATTTGTGCTCCCAGTGACGGTGTCCCCCCGGGGCTTCCCAGCCTCTGCGACACATGCTGACTGCAAGGGAGCGCTCCATGCTGGCTCTCACGTCCATTTCCCCGATGTGTGATGAGGATGAAAATCTTTCCATGGGTTTACTAGCCATTTGTCTCCTTTGAAAAGTCTTCCTTGTGTCTTCTGCCCTTTTTCTTTTTGTCAGTTTGCAGCCATTCCGGATGTGTTCTAGGTACAAATGCATCATGCAGGTGACTTTCCCTTTTCACTGTTGCAGATTGCAGCGATGATGCTGAGCAGGGTGACGAGGCTGATCTCCGGGGCCTGGCAGGTGAGTCCTGACTGACCTCAAAGCTCTGTCACGCTGTCTGTGGGCGGGCTTCTTCTTTTTAGATGGGTCCAGTGTTTCCAGAACGAAGTCTCTGGAGAACTTGGGTTGGCCCGCGCTTCTGATTACAAGTTCCCCTCCTCGGCCGTGCACTTGGCTCCAGGCCGCCCTGCATACCTTCAGGTGACAGGTATCAGTAGAGCAGCTGTGCTCGAGATTCACCCGGTTGTTGGAGGATTAACGTTGAATAAATAAGCTTGATTGCAGTTCTTTATTAACTTTATTAATGTCTAACTGGATTAATGATATGGTCCCTTAATGAAGCATTAAAAGGAAAATGAGTTGCTGAGGCACTTGGGTGGCTCCGTTGGTTGAGCATCAGACTCTTGATTTCAGCTCAGGGCAGGATCTCCCCATTCATGAGATCAAGCCCCACGTAGACTCTATGCTGGGCGTGGAGGCTGCTTGAGATTCTCTCTCCCTCCCTCGGCCTCCCCCTCTGCTGCTTCCCCACTCGCACTCATTCTCTCAAAATAAATATTTCTTTTAAAGTGCCCAAAATGGAGTCACTTATAAAAAATAAGTTGCTTATTTAGACTTTTAGCATCTGACAGTTGAATAAAATAATAAATCATACATAAAATAGACCATCGTGTCTCTTTTCTTCTTGCTTTTGTTTATTGAGCACGTATTTTCTCAGTAGCTGCCATGGGGGCAGGTACACAGGATTCTGAGGGGACTCGCGCGCCATTGACGGTTGTGGCGTGTCGGGCATTGGTTACGTGCCAGGCACCGTGCTAAGTGCTGTGTTTCCCCTCATCTGCGTGCGCGGCCCCGGAAGCAGGGATGTTGCTGCCTCGCGGAGGCGGCAGCTGAGGGCTGGGAAGGAGAAGCCAGTTGCTTGGGGGAGACATGCGACGCCGCGGAGCCCGGCTCCCTGGCCTGACTGCACCGCCGCGGCCGGAAACACTGTGCCGCATTGCCTCGTGCGGCCCGTGTTCTCCGGGAGCTCAGGACCCAGCAGCAGAGTCCCCAGTAACTGGGGGCCCCCGGGGAGCCCCTCGACCTGAGTGCTGACGGCTGCGAGCCGGGCCGGGAGGCCTGTCACCTCCATCTGCTCTTTCAGTTACAGCTTAGACGGTCTGAGGGGGGCCCTTCCTGCCGGGGGGGCTGCTCTTCCCAGGGCTCATGTGGAACCCTGTGCAGGAAAATGAGCCATCGTGAGAGAATCAGATGGGAAAACGTAAAGCAAGGCCCAGCAGAGGGACGGGTTCTGGCCTCAGCTGATTACGTTAAAGTAGACTTTGTTCTCCCTCAGGGGCAGACAAGGCAGACCTGGTTCCAAACTGCAGTGAGAGGTCAGGGAGGATTTTGTGCTTTCTGTAGATTGATTTAAAGTCCCCTTGATTCGGGGTCTCAGTCCGTTGGGTGTCTGACTCTTGATTCCAGTTCGAGTCATGACCCATGGGGTGTAGGATCAAGCCCCATGTCAGGCTCTGTGCCGCATATGGAGCCTGCTTGGGATTCTCACTCTCCCCGTCTGCCCTCTCCCCTGCTCGTGCGTGCTTACTCCCTCTAAAAACCTGAGTGCTGCTCTGCTCAGGAACTGCACGGGGCTCATCCTGGAGCCGTGCGGCGGTATGCAGAGGTGGTGGCGCACATGGCCGCTTGCCCGCAGACACAACACCATCTCGGCGATGCCAGGTACCATGTTGTAAGAAGTAAGGAATCCATTTTGCTAGGTTTTAATTTGCTGCAAAAAGCAGTTAACTAAAAAAATAAAATCCTAGGATTCCTGTAGAAACACCACCACCTTGTGGCCCTGGAATATCTTTAATTTTGTGTTTGCCCCTCTTCTTTTTAGAGACCTGACACTTTGTCTCTGGTAGGACTGAGAGAGTGGAGCAGGTCACTGCCGGGGCCTGTCATTCAGGCGGCCGTGCTGAGCCGGCCCTGAACTCTCGCGGGCTTCACAACGCGACACCGCCTGTGTCGTCGGTGTTCTGTTCTGTTCTTGCTCCCGCCGCGTCCCCGAGACAGTCTGTGGCGAACACGGGAAGCGGTAATGTGGGTGACGGTCCGCCACGTGGAGGGGCCACCCCACAGAAGGACGCCCGTTTGGGTTCCACGACAGCTTTCTAGCTCGTGTTTTTGCCTCGAAGTCTTGCAGCGGCTTCCCTCATATTCCCAAAGATCTGTCTCCCAGCCAAACACTTAACGTGCAGCTGGTCAGGAAGCAAGCTGACCCCTGCCCACATCCGAATCAGACTCGGGGCCCCTGTGTGGTGGTCGTGGCCGCGGGGGCTTCAGCCGGCCTTTCTCGTCGCTTTCTGTGTAGACTCCCCGTCCCAGCCCTGCAGTGAATCTTCTCATCCCTTTGGAAGGCCTGTTATCCTGAAGCCCAGTTTTGGGGGGGGTCTCCAGCATTTTCTCAGATCTGTCTCTGAAATCTCACCCCCCAGCCCGACCACTCCTCAGTTTGGGGTGTCTGTGTGCGGAGTTGCCCACAAGGTGATCTCCTTCACCCCTCATTATACACAACCAGAGAGGGTTCTGGGGCACAGCCAGCAGGGAAGTGGCCTGACACCACCCAGGAACGCTGAACTGACCCCCTGGCAAATGAGAAGTGGGCGGTCCCAGCCGCTGACCCTGGCTGTGGACGAGGGCACTGCAAGAGCGCCTTGCCCCAGGCTGGCCGTGGCCGTGGCCGTCCTGTGCTCCTGAACGGTCCCCGGGAGACTTGTCTGCCTCCACGTGGGACAGAGCCCTGCCCCAGCAGAGCCGCGACAGAGTCCGAGTATGAGGAACGGGATTGGACTTAGAGAATTAGGAAACTAAGCATTCTTTTGACCTAAAACCAAAATGTGTACCAGTGTCCCTGTTGTGGATGTGGCTTGAAGTCTGTTTGTAGCAGGCACTAACTCAAAAACGTGAAAATGGTTTTTTTTATAGTTGGACCCAGGACGCTTTTTGGACACGGGGTCCCAGGGCTCCCGAAGCCTTGCTGCTCACCCAGGTAACCAGGCCCCAGATGATCGCCCCAGAGCGGTTTCCCGCACCAGTGAGAAGGACCCGGTGAGTTGCTAGCGCCTGTGGCGCTTTTCTTCAAGTCTTACAGTGTGTGGCTATCATCCTCTGTGTCGGGAAAACTGAGAGCCGGGGAGACCAGGCAGGTCTCTGTCCCAGGCCCGGTGACCTAACACATGGCGGGCCAGGCCACACAAGTTTGCTCGTGCCCAGCATTTTGCCCGCCATGAAGCGGGTACACAGTAAACACTTAAGTCGGAGGTCGTCGCTCTTGCTGGTTGACAGACTTCTCCTTGCTGATGCCTTGCTGACTCTTCCAGGCTTATGAGCCAAAGTGGTCTCTGTCACAGCTACTTAGTTCTGCCATAATTGAGGGAGGGGTGTCTGTGTTCCAGTAAAACTTTATTTGCCAAGATGGGTAGCAGCCATAGTTCACCAGCCCGGTATGGAGAGTCCTAACGAAATCAACCTGCTGGCCCAAGACCACGTCGTAGGGCGGGTACAGAGCCCGGTGTTCCCAGTAGTCTCCCTGGGGCTATTTCCCACCTTCCTGAGTGCATTTCCTAGTGTCTGGAAGGGAACTGACTCGATGTGCGGAGAACAGCATGGAACGTGGTGGTGACGGCAGAAGTGGGGGCCCCGGCAGTGCCCAGGGTCGCGTCTTCTGCCACGGGCCCCGCCAGGCCGCTGATGATGTCCGCTGTCCTGCCCAGCACAATGGGAGCCTCTCGTTGGCGCCGTGAGTCGTGTGCTCCGGGTTTAAGCGTGAAGGGAACCCACGGTTCTCCTTTTCTGTACCCGGCCTGTCCCCGAGCCACCCCACCCCGATGACGCTGTGCACGCAGACGGGAGAAAACAGCCCGGCACCCAAGGCACCGTCTTGGCGGGGTGTGTTTACGTCTCCAGTTCACCTGCTTTGGAGGCATAAAATCAACTGAATGAGTGAAGGAAGCCACTGAAGTGTGTTTGAGCTCTCCCGGTAACTAGTCTCTTTATCTTGGGTCCTCCGGGGTTTCTATGGAAACAGCGGTATGCAGATGATTGGGTCACATGACTGGACCATCTCCATACCCGGCACAGAAGAATCCAGATGGCGAGGACTCACTTACCTCCACATGCAGGGTTTACGTTGCTGAGCAACTGGCTTCGCCATTTGGGCCAACAGCAGCTCTATATGCACACTGTGAATTTGGGGGCGACAGTCGGCGTTGTTTGTCTAAGAAATGAGACAGCTGGGACGCCGGGGGGCTCAGTCAGTTAACCATCCACTTCAGTGCAGGTCAGGATCTCACGGTTCCTGGGTTTGAGCCCCACATCAGGCTCTGCACTAATGGCTTGGAACCTGGAGCCTGCTTCGGATTCTCTGTCTCTCTCAAAACAAAAACTGAAAACAATTTTAGGGGCACCTGGGTGGCTTATTTGGTTAACTATCCAACTCTTGATTTCAGCACAGGTCATGATCTCACAGTCCGTGGGTTCAAGCCCCACGTCAGGCTCTGCACTGACAGCATGCAGCCTGTTTAGGATTCTCTGTCTACCTCTCTCTGCCCCTCCCCTGATTGCGCTCAGTCTCTCTATCTCAAAAATAAACAAACATTTTGTTATTTTTTTTAATAAACATTTTAAAAAATATATTATTTTTTTAAGTTTTTTATTTCTGAGAGAGAGAGAGGGAGACAGTGTGAGCAGGGGAGGGGCAGAGAGAGAGGGAGACACAGAATCTGAAGTAGGCTCCAGGCTCTGAGCTGTCAGCATAGAGCCCGACACGGGGCTTGAACCCACAACTCATGAGATCATGACCTGAGCCAAAGTCGGACGCTCAACCGACTGAGCCACCCAGGCGCCCCTAAAAAATATATATATTTTAAGTCAAAAAAAAAAACGAAAAATGAAAAGACCTCTTTTCCAGCCCGAGAGATGAAGTTTCGTTCACACGGTCTAGCAGGCCCTTTGCATCTCAGTGTCTGTCATTCTGTCTGTGGCCCCGTTACACCTGTTTGCGTTTTTGCTCCGCAGGCCAGGCACGCGGAGCAGCACGAGGGTCTGCACTACGACATCCCCCTCCAGGACATGAGGACGCTGTTCCCCCACAGCCTGCCGCCTCGCTTCTCCATGCAGGTGCCGGGGGGCGGGGCTCAGAACCCAAGCTGCTGAGGGGGGAGGGGGGATGAAATGGGTAGAAAACTGTAAAAGATGAAATTTGAATCTGAAACAGATGAATTCAGCTATTGATTCTCTTTTGTAAATAGCACTGTCACCATCATTAAGTCCCTGTCTGTGACTAACCACCGGGAGGCAGATAGGTGTCCTCAGATAAGCCTGTGACACTGTTTTCCTCGTGTTACCCACCTAACTGATTCCTAGAAATGGTGGCATTCAAATAATTTATAATGAATTTAATATCTGCTTTAGCCAAACCTTCGGAGAATGATCCCCACGTTCTAGAAAACAGAACCATGATGCAGAGCCAAACAGAAGTGATACTTGGATTAGATGCATTTTTGTTCTTCATTCTCCTGGATTTTCAGAAAATGTAGTTTCGTGGTTGTAACTTCAACCCAAAGATGTCATCTTGGGTTGCTTTATAGACATTGAAAGAATTCATGATGAGCTGCAGGCGTGGCTTGTGGCATGACTGGTGCTTTTGACTGATCCTGCTGCGTTACTCTCCTTCTTTCTGAAACACCAGGCCTGATGGCGCAGGTCGTCTGTAGCTCAGGAGCCAGAGGACGGCGCTCGTTCCGTGTGCTTCGTTCCCAGGGATTAGATGAGACCCTAGGAGGGAGCTCACTCTAGACCATGAACAGCCTGTCATCAAAGCTGTTAAATTGGGGCGAGGGGGGGCCGGGGGGCGGCGCAAATTTGGAACTAGGGCGTCGCCGGAAGATGGTCTGTCAGGGCCCTTGAACCGTTCACAATGAGGCCTCTGACTGGAGCGCTGTGCGGGCCCAACGCTGAGCGTCTCCGGTTGCTTCCAGACCGGCCTGACCACAGTGCTCCGCAGGGAATTACTCACACATTCCTTCCATGATTTCCATTTACGTGAAGCGACTCCTCCCCACTGTTTGTGTGCTGTAGTGCTGTCATATTGCCTAATATGGCGTTTCTGTTTTAACATCTGTATCGTGGTTTTGAAAGTTTCACTTTCCATTAAGTTTGAACTTGCCTCTCAAGTCCTTCTCCAGTCAAGTTGTGTGGTTAGGATTTCTTCAGAAAATATCCACACAATTTTAATCCTTATCTGGTATACTTGTGAGCAGATACTTGCTGGATATTTGTTCTTGTCAGTAGACGGTATTAAATACTTTATGTGCACAGTACTGCACACATATCTGTGCTTCCCAGATTTTTCCACCAAAGCATTCCTGGTGACAAGAGACAAGAAGGGATGGAACTTTCTGTGTCAGCTCTCGGGCATGTCTGTGTTCCCGTGTGTCCGGCACGGGCTGGGCAGCGGCTGGTCACACCTGCTCCTGAGCGTCACGTATATGTTTCTAGAGAAATAGCCAGATGGTTCTAGTAATAAAAACTAGCTAAAAATAGATTTAAAACAACATCTAGGAGCACCCAGGGGGCTTGGTTAAGCGTCTTGACTTTGGGCTCAGGTCATGATCTCACAGTTTGTGAGTTCAGACCCCAGAGTCGGGCTCTGTGCTGACAGCTCAGAGCCTGGAGCCTGCTTCGGATTCTGTGTCTGTCTTTCTGTCTGTCTGTCTGTCTGTCTCTCTCTCTCTCTCTCTCTCTCTCTCTGCCCCTCCCCAGCTCGCACTCTTGTCTCTCTAAAATATAAACATTAAAAAAGTAAAACAATTAACATTTATTTAATACTTACTATGTGTCCGATAACTTTGTTAAGGATTTTATATTCTTTTAATACTCATTAATCCTAACTGGCATGCACGGCTATGTTATAAGATGTCCATAGATTATTTGTAGATTTCAACTAACCATGTACTATCTCTGCTTCATTAATAGAAATAATCAAAAGGTGACTATTGTGTTATTTGGTGTGGGACACTGTGTCTCAGATTTTAGCTAAATTATATGGATAGATTTTCATATTCAATACCAACCAAACATCTCTTCAGTGAATAAAGGGAAAGCAGGTGCTGAGGTGCTCTGGCCGGTCTCTCGGGCTCAGTGGGCCCCACGCCTCATGCTCCCTTCCCATCCTTGTTTGTTAGGTGAAAACTTTCAGCGAAGCCTGTCTGATGGTGAGGAAGCCGGCCCTGGAGCTTCTGCGTTACCTGAAAAACACCAATTTTGCCCACCCCGCTGTGCGGTATGTTCTCTGTATCCTTTCTGGCCTGCCAGGGCCGTCCTGGGCCAGCGGGGGGAAGGGGAAATCTTAGTGTTATCTGGGGGGCGCCTGGGGGGCTCAGTCGGTGAAGCGTCCAACTTCAGCTCAGGTCATGATCTCCCAGATCGTGGGTTTAAGCCCCGCATTGGGCTCTGTGCTGACAGCTCAGAGCCTGGAACCTGCTTCGGATTCTGTCTCCCTCTCTCTCTGCCCCTCCCCTGCTCACGCTGCCTCTCAAAAATGCTGTTTTTGACAGAAGTGTCCTTTCCGGTGATATTTTCTTTAACCCCAGTGCTTTAGACGGGGAGAAGGGGACAGGAAAAACCCTCAGTCTTTGCCACGTGATTCATTTCTGTGCAAAGCAGGACTGGCTCATCCTACACGTTCCGGATGGTAAGGGCTTCCTCTCCTCGCTGTCCATGCAGCCGGGTCGGGTCTGGGGGCCGCAGGGGCTCCAGGGAGGCCTCAGGCCTATGCTCCGACGCAGGCCAATGCGAGCCACTCGGTCACGGCCACACAGTGGCCACAGGCAGGGCGCGAGGTGAGGGCAGCGCAGCAGCAGCAAGTTCCGCGGCAGCTTCCCGGAGCTTCTACGGTAAGAACAGAGCGCTTTGGCCTGGCGTCCTTGTGGTGACGTGGCACCCAAGAGTGTAAGCACCTGTGCGCGGCATCAGCACGCGCTCTGCTGCGGTCAGCAAGCAGTTCTGAGTCCCCAGGGTCCCCTGACACGCTGTCCATCGGCATTCTAGGGTCTCAGCACCCCCTCCTTTGCGTATAGCCATTTGTACAGGGTTGCGTGCGCAGCTGCGTTTTCTTGACTCCCTTTAAAACCTGCCAGGACGCTCCAGTCACCCTTCTGCCACGTGATGCGCGTGTCCTAACTGCAACGAGGTTTCAGCTCATGTGGGCCAGCCCCAAAGTGACCCTCTGAGGCAAGGAGGCCTTAAGAAGTAGGCCGTGCATTTTTGACCAGCACGGTTTAAACTGTGTGGGTCCACTTCCAAGCCGATTTCTCGGAGGATGTTATGTATTGTGGGTGTGATGCTCTTGTTCACATTTTCTTTTCTCTAGCTCGTTCTACTGTGAGGATACAGTAGGCAACACATACACAGCCAGAGTGTGTGTTACTTGACTCTGTGTTATCAGGAAGGCTTCTGGTCAGTAGTAGGCGATTAGTAGTTACGTTTTGGGGGTCAGAAGTTATAGGCAGACGGTCAACTGTATACGGGAAGCTAAAGCCACTTCCCTCAGCTTAGAGGCAGAGAGTACTTCGAGTTGTGTGCACTCAGCTGCTGCCTGCTGTGACTCCCAGCGTGTTTGCAGCTCACCTCTGGGTGAAGAACTGCCGGGGGCTCCTGCCGTCCACCCACAACCGGCAGCGCCTGGACCAGCCCGTACAGGCTTCCATCTGGCTGAAGAACTTCAAAACCACCAATGACCGTTTCTTGAGTCAGGTAACGAGACTCCCGGAAGCTTGATGCTGGACGGTCTTTATTTTATTTTTCAGTTTACTTACTTGAGAGAGAGCAAGAGGGAAAGGGAGAGAGAATCCAAAGCAGGTCCCAGGTTCTGACCTGTCACACAGCCCTATGTGGGGCTCGAACCCATGAACTAAAGTCAGACACTTCACTGAGCCACCCAGGCGCCCCTAATTTTTTTTTAAATTATTTTTGAGAGTGCGCGCGAAGCGGGGGGGTTGGGGAGAAGAGGAAGACACAGAATCCAAAACAGGCTCCTGTCTCTGAGCTGTCAGCACAGAGCCCGACGTGGGCTCGGTCAGTGAAGCCTCCAACTCTTGATCTCAGCTTGGGTCTTGATCTCACGTTCCTGAGTTCAAGCCCTGTGCTGGGTGTGGAGCCTACAGGAAGGAAGGGAGGGAGGGAGGGAAAAAATATGTGAAAACAGACTCAGGCAACCTTCCCCTCCTACCTTCTCAGCTACAGATGGGTTCGTCTTTGGGCCGAGTACCTTTTTTGGTTTTTGTTTGTTTTTAGATAAAAGTTCAAGAGAAGTACATCTGGAACAAGCGGGAGAGCACGGAGAAAGGCAGCCCTCTGGGAGAGGTGGTGGAACAGGTATGGAAGCAGACGGTGGCTGGGTCCTCTGCCCCCACCCGGCCGCCTCTCTGGGACCGCCAGCCCGCCTCTCTCCCCTGCAGGGCCTCACGCGGGTGAAGAACGCCACGGACGCCGTCGGGGTTGTGCTCAAGGAGCTCAAGGGGCAGAGCCGTGCGGGCAGGTTCCGCCTCCTGGTGGCGGTGGACGGAGTCAACGCTCTCTGGGGAAGGACCACGCTGAAAAGAGAAGATAAAAGTTCGGTAGGAAAACTGGGCTTCTCTGCGCTGCTTACTGTGACGCCGGCGCGCGGGCAGAACGTGGCCTGGTGGCCCGGGCGGTACATGTCGTCTGGCCTTGGGAGTGTTTGAATCAGCTTGAACCCGGGGCAGAGGGCGCCGTGGGGCTCCCCCCATCCACTGGGAGCCGCAGGCGGGCGTCTGCAAGGGCGCGTCACGGCATCACAGCGGGGGCTGCGCGGTTCTCTCATTCCTCCCGGGGCTGAGCGATGGCTTCCGTGCGCAGCCGTCAGACCCGCGGCCTCTGCGCCAAAAGGGCAGAGGCGTTGAGGGAGGCGGTGGTGTGGGCGCAGGCCGCCCCCTCCCTTGTCGACGGGTTTGAATCCGAAACCTGGCCGGTGGGCGGGCAGTCCCAGAGCAGGCAGGATTCTGTAGTCCCTGGTCATGGACTGACCCGGCCCCGTCTGACCCGGCAGGTGGCTGCCGAGGAGCTGGCGCTGGTGCACAACCTGAGGAAGATGGTGAAGAACGACTGGGTGAGCATGTGTCACTCCTCAGAGTTTTCGGTCTCCGATCGCACGCACAGAAAGTTCTTGTATCTTCCTTAATTCCCACAGCGGTGCCAAAGTTTAAAATCTGGATATTTGGTTTCTTTCCACTCGCCTGGGGAAAAGCCATTGTACTTAAATCTTGGCATACTTTTACTTTGCGGTTGTTCAGGGTGGTTTTATAACTTACCGACTTTGAAAATGATTTTGATAAATTTAAGATCATGTAACAGTTTGCTGTCAGAGCGAAATCAGAATTGATAACTACTTAGTTGCCATTTAACTGTACTAAAACTCTACAGATGATTAAAATGCACTTTTCCGGGGCACCTGGGTGGCTCAGTTGGTTAAGCGTCCAACTCCTCTGATTTCAGCTCAGGTCATGATCTCACGGTTTGTGGGATTGAGGGTCGTGATCTCACGGTTCGTGGCATCGAGCACCAAGTTGGGCTCAGCATGGGGTGTGGAGCCTGCTTGGGATTCTCTCTCACCCTCTCTCTGCCCCGCCCCATGCGTGCTCGCTCTCTCTAAATAAACTGAAAATAAAATGCATTTTTCTCTCTTTTGCGCCTTTTTCTAATTGAGCTTTTTATTTCTTTCAGCATGGAGGTGCCATCGTGTTGACTTTGAGCCAGACTGGGTCCCTCTTCAAGCCGCGGACAGCCTATCTGCCCCAGGAGCTGCTGGGAAAGGTCCAACCATTAGAAAATCTGGTTCCCCTTAGATAGTCACTTTGTCTAAAGAGATCTCTCGTGCGCTCTTTTTTTTTTCTTCTCTTTCCTTTTGGACATAGTTACAGACTTGGAGAACAGCCATATTCCTGTATGACTTCACCCAGATTCCTAAACGTTAACACTTTACCATATTTGCTTTCTTCTTCTCCATCTATTTTTCTCCTGAATTATGTGACAGCAACCTGAGACACGATGCCTCTTTCTTCCTAAATAGCGTGCATTTCCTAAAATCAGAGACATTCTGAATACTGAACCACAGCACAACTGTGAAAACCAGGAAACTGGCACGGATAGGACGCTGTTCCCTGATCTATAGGGCTTCTGACGTTAACAGTCACCCCATGTCCTTCACAGAAAGCCGCGGATCATGTGTTTGTCTGGGGTCTATGGTCTCCTTCGAGCTGGGACAGTGCTTCAGTCTTGGGCTGTTCAGATCTGTGTGTTTGAAGAGTGCTCGCCGCGGTGGGCTCCCTTCCGGCTGGGCTGCTGTCGTCTCCTGACTGTGTGATGGTAGATGCGGTGCCGGGTCTCTGGGAGCCCACAGCGGGAGGCCCCTGGGAGACCCAGTCCCCCCAGGACTCCAGGGGTAAGGGGGACACTTGGCTAAGGTGCTGTCATCTGGGTTCTCATCAGTAAAGTGACTGCTCCTTCCGTGACGAGTGAGTACAGGTCAGTGGACGGGTACTTGAGACCCAGTCAACGCCCTGCACCCTCAGGCCTCCCCCACTGGCCTGAGCCTCTGCCTCTGGTTCTCCCCACAGGCCAGTGGAGGTACTTGCAGAATGGTATCTTCTAATGGATCCCCTGGCTCCGTCACACGCAGGAACTTTCCTTCCTTACTCCTTTCTCGAGACACATAGACTCCTCTTTAATGAGCTCCAAACCTTTACTGTCATTACTGATTTTGGTGCTTAATTTGCCCCGGATCAAGCCTGTAAAAGCCCCTTCAGCCTTCAGGCTGTCTTCTGTGCTCTCTGCCCAGGCCCTGTCCTAGCCGTTTGTTTCTCCGGACACCCCTGATTCATGTTCGAGGAGAATGTGGTATTTGCCTACCACGGCCCAGAGGCGCCTGGCAGGCTGGGGCGCTGGAGCTTGCGACTGATCTCAGGGTCGGGAGTTCAAGCCCAGTGTTGTGTGTGTTGGAGCGCACTCCACATAAGTATTTAAAATACGCTTCCTTTAAGAGGTGGAACTGAAGTGATGCCCCACTTCTTGAGCGTGGACTGGAATTTAGGTACCAAGACCTGAGTGCCAGGTGTGCTCATGGCTACTGGGGCATCACTTCCAGGCCTTCTGGAGAAGTCTGGAAATAGACACACACGTGTACGTACTATACACATCCGTGTGTCCGCACGTACACATCCACGCTTGTCTGTATCCGTTCCTGTACTTGTTAGAAAACCAGGCGTTTGTACGGATACGAGCTGGCCTCACAGGCCCCTCCCCTTCCCGCATCCGAGACCCTCGCCTCGAGCAGTAGGAAGGCTGCCCCCGGCACCCTCTGTGGGGTCAGCGGTCCCGACTCCCCGAGAGCGAAGCTGCAGGCCGCGGCTCAGGGTCCGCCGCGCGCGGTGGTGTCCGCCCAGCCGCGGGGACCCCTGCTCCCGTCACTGTCCTGTCTGGAATCGGAAATCCGGTTTGATCCGTTCATTTCAGCTCATGTTCCAGTTAATGTCTTTTTCCGTATCCTTATTAATTTTGGTTCCTGTTTTTGAATCTATGAACTGTCAAAATGGTTGTTGGCTTCTGAAGTCAAAAAACTGCAAAACAGATACTTAAATATGTGTGTAAACCCACACCCGGAAGCTTCTGCACCCGGCCGAGCGGCGGCGAGGAGCCAGGCGCTGTGTGGAGCCCGTGAGGCGGGCGGGAGGGCCGCGTGTCCGAGTCCGATCTCCGCCGGGTGGTCCCCTAACGGGCACTGTGACTTTACCCTTTTCCTTCTCCAGGAAGGATTTGACGCCTTGGATCCCTTCGTTCCCATCCTGGTTTCCAACTACAGCCGGAAGGAGTTTGAAAGCTGCATTCAGTACTACCTGGAGAACAGCTGGCTTCAGCACGAGAAAGGTCCGTGACTCCTGGGGGGTTGCGTTCTGAGTCCCCCCGAGTCGGCGCCGTGACCCCTTCCCCCCGGCTCCTCTCTGGCCGCGGGTGTGGAGAGCGGTGGGGGCGGGAGGTTAGGGTTCAGTTTACAGAAGACAGGACGTCTCTCCCCAAATTCTCACGGCAGTGCAGCATCCGGTGCTCAGGGAAGGAGGCGGCCAGGCCAGGGCCAGCCCTGCGTGCGTGCGCGTGTGCGGCCGTCGGCCCCGCAGCACGCCCCTGCTCCACCCGCCCTGTGTGCACACGAGCGTGCGGCTCTTGTTTCCGCCTGGCCCTCGGCGCAGGGAAGAGGAAAGGCTCCCGCGTCAGAAGGCGGCGGAGAACTAGCCGGGACGGGGGTTCTCCCAGGGACGGGGAGGCGCCCAGAGCGGCCGCGCCCGTGGGGCGCTGGGAGGCGGCACTGGGGAGGTTTGTAAGGGGGTCGAGGCCGGAAGCCGGACTCGGCCCTGAGGGAGACCGGCCTGTTGGAGGATTAGAGACAGAAAAGCTGGTAGTTTACTGGGAGGAAAGTTCTAGAAGCGAGGCCCCTCGGGACTGTGACGTAGCCGGTGAGGACAGAATTTTCGGGGTAACTGCGGCCGGAGAACCGCCAGCCGCGTGTCTGACCCCCGCCCCCCCTTAGCTCATACGGAGGAAGGGAAGCAGCAGCTCCTGTTCCTGAGCAGCGCAAACCCCGGGCAGCTGGAGCGGCTGTGCGCCCACCTCTGAGCCGCGTCCCAGGCGCCTGGACGGCAGCGGACGTTTCCTTCCACGGACCCCGTCGGGCGGGGGCGGGGCGGGGGCTGCACGGCGCATGCGCAGAGGCCGCTGCGCGCGCGGGCCTGGACGGGACTGTGGTCCCTCCCGCCGACGCGACGGGACCGAGTGGCAGGAAGACGTCCTCGTTCCAGAAACTCGGTTAACGGGGGTGGTTTTCGTATGTCAAATAATTATGGATCTTTGCCTTAAAAATAAAATCTTTCTTAAAGTTTTGTGTTCGATTCTTGTTAGGGGTCTGACGAGACTAGAGCCTAGAGAAATTTCCGTGAGTTCTATTTTCCAGACTTGACTCGGCTCAGGAGACTGAGATTCACACCGTAACCCCCCCCCCCCCACACACACACCCCCCGCACCTCCCTGATGCTCACTTCCCACGACGCTGCAGGCTTCCCACGGCGCCGGGAGCCTGACCGACGCCCCTCTGTGCCGGCTCCTGACACGGTGTGGAGTGAGGGGAGCGCAGCGACCGTGGTTCTGTCTACACAGCCACTTCCGGGGGGACGGGAGGACCAGGGACTCGGGTCAGCGCCGCCCACCCCGGTGGGCCCGGAAGTCCGAGTCCCAGCCGCCACTTCCCGGCAGTCTCAGGGCCTCGCAGCCGGTTTCGCCCTCGCGCCCCCTGACCCCTCGGAGGGGCCGCGAGGCCGCAGTCACACGTGCAGCTGCTGCGGCGCAGGGCCTGGGGCTGATGACGCTCCTTGCGGGAGACCGTCTTCCCGGAGAGCTGGCTTCCCCGACGCCGGGACCCCCGGCCCTCACGGCCTCGGCCGGACTCCCAGGCCTGCGGGGGCAGCCGCCACCACCCGAAGGGCCCCAAGCCCCTTGACAAACCCCTTTAGTGCGGTTCTGCCTTCTGATCCCTCACTGATGCCCCCACCGGGGACCGTCGGCTGCAAGTTTATCCAGCCCTGAGCTCGAAGCCCTCGCCTCTCCATCCTCCCCACCCCCACCCCGCCTCCCCGCTCCCAAGGCTCCCCAGGCCCTAGTGAGCTGTGCCGCGGCCGGGGCCACCCGGGGGCTCAGTCCAGCTCGGCTCCTGCTGTTGCCCTGCGTGTTACTCAGTTCAAGCCACAGAAAACTAGGTCTCGTGGAAACCAGCCTCCTTCCTCTCGTTCCCGTTTTCCAGAAGCAACTTCTGTTACCAATTCCTAGACATAAAACTCCGCAAACATTAGGCTTTTTGGGGCGCCCAGGTGGCTCAGTCAGTTAAACGTCTAACTTTGATTTTGGCTCAGGTCATGCTCTCATGTTAGCGAGTTCAAGCCCCATTTGGGCTCTGAGCTGACTGCACAAAACCTACTTGAGATTTTCTGTCTCTTCCCCTCCCCCTCAAAGTAAAATAAACTTTTTAAAAATAGGCTTTTTTTTTTTTAAAAACTTCAGTTTTTTTTTTTTTTTAAGTTTGTTAAGTTTACTTATTTTGAGAGAGAGAATCCTAGACAGATTCGGCGTTGTCAGCACAGAACCGAACACGGGACTCAAACACATGAACTGCAGGATCGTGACCTGAGCTGAAGGTGGGCACTTAACCAACAGAGCCACCCGGGCGCCCCTGAAGATTTTATTTGTAATAAATTCTACACCCACTGTGGGGTTCGAACCCCCAACCCGAGTCCCACGCCCCAGCGACGGAGCCGCCACACTGCTGTCACCCGGGCCCCCACCACTGACAACAGTAGCTGGAGCCCCGGAACGGGAGGGGCCTGGACCTGCATCCGACGGGCAGACGGGACCTTTGCCTGCAGATGAGGCTGGGACCCACTTCCATCTCTGGGTGGCGGAGCGCCTCGTCGACAGGCCTCCTCTTTGTGACGAGCGTGGAGCGAGTCGTCCGGCTGCCCCACCCGAGTCCTACTGAGCAGTTACCGTTGTTACTTGTGTCATCTGCTAAATGTGGACTCATTTTTTTCCAAATCCTCTATCATAAGCCACCCTGTCCAGTCCCCTTTTTCTTAAGATCCTTCTACTATAGACTTGCCCTCACGCCCCGATTTCCTCCGGCTCCGTGGGAAGCCTGCCGCTCAGTCCGTCTCTTCGGACTTGTCTTCATGGCTCCATTGCACTGAATCCAGATTGGGAAGAAGTAAAACTGTCTTCATTTCCAGATGACGTAACCCTGACAGAGGGAACCTCGGGCCTCTGCACACGCACAGCGGACAGCACCGGAGGAGCATGTGCAGAACCGGTGCTGGGCGGCCGTCCCAGCACGGAGACGTGCAGAACTGACACTGAGAAAGTAAATTCAAAAGAGCAGGAATATACAGTATTGGCAACTTTAACAGAAGAACTGCAAAACTATCCACCAAAACCATAACCTACTACTGAGGGAAATTTAAAGAGGATCCAAATGGACGGAAAGACGGTCCGTGCTCACAGGTTGGAAAACCCCATGGTGTTAAAGTGTTAATTCTCCCCAGACTGACCTATAAATACAGCGCGGTCAGTACCGAAATTTCAGCAGGCTCCTTTGCAAAAATTGGCAACTGACCCTCAAGTTCATACTTGAGAAGAAAAGAACCTGGAGTCGGAATGATTTTCTCAGGCAAACTGGGAGGACCTACTCTTCCTTTTTTCAAAACATCACCTAAAGCGACAGTAACAAGGCGCACGGCCCTGGCCCCGCCACAGACGCCGCCGAGGCCAGACAGAAGTCTCTGTTTATGCTCAACTGATTTTCAACAAAGATGTGAACGCAATTTGTTGGGGAAAAAACAATCAACAAATTGTGCCGGGATGGCTGGTTGTGGACAGGCAACCATGGATTCGGGCCATGGACTCACTTAGACACTCAAAATGTAACACAGGGCTAAGCGTAAGAAGTAAACTGTAAAGGGGCGCCTGGGTGGCTCAGTCGGTCAATTGTCTGACTTCAGCTCAGGTCATGATCTCACAGTTCATGAGTTCGAGCCCTGCGCCAGGCTCTGTGCTGACAGCTCGGAGCCTGGAGACTGCTTCTGTGTCTCCCTTGCTCTCTGCCCCTCTCCCACTCACGCTCTGTGTCTCCGTCTCTGCCCCTCCCCTGCTCGTACTCTGTCTCTCAAAAATGAACTTTAAAAAAAATTTTATGATCATAAATAAAAGAGAACAAAATCTTCATGACCTTCTATTGGGCAAAAACAACACCAAAGATATGGTCCATAGAAAAAACATTTGATAAACTAGACTTCATGAAATTCAAAAAAATTTATTCTAAAAAAATCCCATTAATTAAAAAGAGGGGCGCCTGGGTGGCTCAGTGTTAAGGTTAAGTGTCCAACTTCGGCTCGTCATGACCTCAGTTTGAGAGTTTGAGCCCCACGTCGGGCTATTTATTTACTTGAGTCACCATTTGAAAGGAAATTGCAGACAAGTCTTTTATCACATTTCTCCTAAGAACAGGATATTCTTCTGTGTAACCAAAATACCACTATCACACTGGAGAAACCCATCATCAATATAATATTCTCTAATACGGTCTTTAAATTACATCTTCATGGCTCCCCCCTCCCCCACCCCCATTGCCAAGCCAGGTTCCAATCAACATTCACATATCACATTAACAGTGAAGTATCTCATCAGTGTCCTGTTACCTTCAGCAGACCCTCGGGGGGGGGAGGGGGGTGTTGTTATCTGACATTTTTGAAGACACCAGGCCAGTGGTACAGGCTGTCCCACGTTCTAGACGCGCCTCATTGTTCCTGCAGATACAGGTTACAGGCTTTCGCAAGCACAGTAGATGGTTGGCCACAGTCACATCACTTCAGTGGGTCCCATTACTGGTGATGCTAAATTTGATCACTTGGTTAATTGTGACACGCGTCACTGTAACAGTATGTTTTCTCAGTTACCAAGGTAAGTTTACCTGTGGAGTGTTACTCTGTAATCCTGAAACCTTCCCGTTTACCAGCAAATTATCACCAAAAAGCTTTAATATCCACCGATGACCTTCATCTGAATAAAGTATTAAACTGATACCTGCAATCTAAATGCCACCATTGTGTCTACATTTATTAGCTGCTGCTCTATCACCCCTAACACTCTCCCCTCTCCTTTTTTTTCTTCGCCTCCTTGCGGACAATTTTGAAAACCTGATGTTCACCCCGTGAAATTGGAACAGATCAACAGAACAGGATGAAGAGCCCGGAAGGTAAAATAAAAAGCATTGCTAACATTTGAAAAGGTCCATATAGATGACTGTTTTAAAAGCAGAACAAACAAAACTCTATTCTTGTAAAAACTTCCTTTAAGGCAGTGAAAACGACCCAGGGCGGTAGTAAATACTTCCAATACATAGAACTGACAAAAAGCTTGTATCCCGAAAAAAAGTGCTTACTCCCACGGATGAATAAGACAACTCAAAAGAAACATGTGCAAGAAATCTAAACGTGTACTTCACAAAAATGGATCTCCAAGTGGCCGATGAACGTAGGAAAAGGCGCCCTCAGCCCCGTTAGCAGTTCCACCCAGCGACTGGGGCTACGATTGGTAAGGTGGGGGTGCGTCGGCCGGCATCTCCCGACACCGCAGGTGGCGGTTCACACCGGTAAAGAGTTGGGGAAGACAGGTTTGTGCCATTTACCAAGCTCGACTACAGCCATCTTTCGGACCCCAGGCGCGCGCCGCCCAGGCGGGTGCCCCCCCGAGGCGCGCGTGTCGCCCCACGGGCACGGGGAGGCTCGGCACACGCCCACCGGCCGGCCGCCAGCCGGAGCGACCCCGGCCCGCCGTCGGCGCTCCCCTCGGCCGCGTCGCACCCGCGCGACGGGGCCACGCAGGGGGCTGAAAGGATGCGCAAGCATGGAGAGGACGTTCCCAGACGACCTCGACCAAACGGAGGGCGCCCGCCTCGCGGGCCGTGACGGGCGGGCAGCCGGGCCGCCGCGCGGTCCGGGGAGCCTCCTCCGCCGGCCGCCGCCGGGCCCCACGCGAGACGCCAGGCCCCGCCCAGAGCGCGCCACGCGGCGCACGGGCCCCGCGCCGGCCACTTCCGGCCGCGCCGGGCCCCGCCCCCCAGCGAAAACGGGGGCCCGCGCGCCCCGCGGGCTGTGGGCGGGGCCTCCGAAACCCGACGCGTCGCTCGGCCCGCGGAAGAGGCCTGTGAGGACCAGTACAGCGCGGGGCCGGAGGCCCCGCCCCCACGGCGACGCTCCAATCGGCCCCGAGCGGCGAGTCGGCTTCCGCGCCTGCGCGGCCCAGCGGAGCCGGGCGGCATGGCGGGCGGGGCCCGGGAGGTGCTCACGCTGCAGTTGGGCCACTTTGCGGGCTTCGTGGGAGCGCACTGGTGGAACCAGCAGGTGAGGCCTGCGGGCGCTGCCCCCGCGGGGCCGCTCGGGGTCTCCAGACGCCCCCGCTAAGGCCCGGCCTTCCCGTGTGCTCCCCCCAGGATGCTGCGCTGTGCGCCCCGACCGGCGGCAGGGAGCCGCCGGCAGAGCTGTGTCCCGACGTCCTGTACCGGACGGGCCGGACGCCGCACGGCCAGGAGACCTACACGCCCAGACTGATCCTCATGGATCTCAAGGGTGAGGCGGGCCGGGGTCGGCCGGCGCCAGGAGCGCCCCGGGCGTGCGGAGCAGGGACCCGGCGCACTGGGCACTCCCGTGGGCGCCCGCGGTGCTGCCCCGCCCCGGCCGCCCGGCTCAGGCCCGGCTGGGGATGGCGGGGACGCCGGGCGCGGGGGGGCTTGGCGGCCGCAGGCTTTGCCCCGACGTGGCCTGTTCTTTCTCGCACAGGTAGCCTGAGCTCCCTAAAACAAGAAGGTGGCCTCTACAGGGACAGACAGCTGGACGCGGCAATAGCTTGGTATCGGTGACACACGCAGTTTGGGCACAGGAAGCTGGACAGCCGTGGGGGACTGTCACTGAGATCCGTTTTCTTTCAGGCAGGGAAAGCTGACCACACACAGGGAGGAACTCTGTCCCCAAACCCCTGGCCTCCAGGACCTTCTGAGCGCAGAGGTGAGGGCCTCCAGAGAAGGAGGATTCTGGTCCTCTTCAGTACCTTGGGATGGCATTCTGGCAAGAAGCACGTTTCCAAAGAAGTGTAACGAGTGAACGCAGGCGGCGGGGCTGGCCTGCAGGACCCAGAGAATCAGTCCGCTTGTGCCTCCAGGCTGCCTGGAACTCAGTGCAGGTTCTTTCCTCCGCCTTCCAGGGAGTGCTGAGTAGTGATGGTACCTGGAGGGTCAAATCCATTCCCAATGGCAAAGGTGAGACTCCATGGGCACCACAGGGTGGGGAACGGGGCAGAGCAGCAACGGGAAGAACGTTCCTTTGGACTCTTCTTCAGGCCCCGCACCGCTCACCACTGCGACAGCCCCCAGACCGTTCATCCCCACGGGGGGCAGCATCAGGGTCTGGTCAGATTTCCTCCGGGTCCATCTCCACCCCCGGAGCATCTGTATGATTCAGAAGTACAACCACGATGGGTATGCAGGCCGGAGGGGGGAAGCAAGGAACAGGTTCCCCCCCCCCCCCCCCCGGCTCCCCCCCCCCCCTCGACTGGCCCCACCACCACCCCCAGTCACCCCCCCCCCCCCCCCCCCCCCCCCCCCCCCCCCCCCCCCCCCCCCCCCCCCCCCCCCCCCCCCCCCCCCCCGGTGTTGATGAGGCCCTTGCAGCCACCTTCCCCACCCCCACTGCAAGTGGGATCGTGGGGGGTGGAGGCTGGAGGGCGGGGCTCCTGCAAGTCGGGGTTGTGCTCACGCGTGGCAGGGAAGCGGGCCGCCTGGAGGCCTTTGGCCAGGGCGAGAGCATCCTGAAGGAGCCCCGGTACCTGGAAGACGTGGAGGACAGGCTGCACTTCTACGTGGAGGAGTGTGACTACCTGCAGGTAGCAGCGCGGCCGGGCGGACGCGGGCAGGACCCCAGGCCCGCGCTGCCTTCCACGCCCCGTCTTCTTCCAGGGCTTCCAGATCCTGTGCGACCTGCACGACGGCTTCTCCGGGCTGGGCGCGAAGGCCGCAGAGCTGCTCCGAGACGAGTACTCGGGACGGGGAATTATAAGCTGGGGCCTGCTCCCTGGGCCCTGCGGTCGCGGGGTGAGGACGCCCGGGGTGAACAGTCCCGGGGCAGGGAGCGGGGCCTCCCGGGGAGAACGCGCTTACAAGCTCCTTTCCTCCCCCAGGAGCCCCTGAAGAACACCTATCGTGTGTTGAACACCGCGTTGGGCCTGGTGCACATGTCCGCCCACAGCTGTCTGGTCTGCCCCCTATCCCTGGGTGGCAGCCTGGGGCTGCGGCCAGAGCCACCCGTCACCTTCCCTCACCTGCGCTACGATGTAAGGCTCGAGGCTCCTGCTGCCACTGCAGCCCTGGCCCCAGCCTTTCTCTGCCACCAGCCCAGTTCTTGAACCCTCCGCCTGAGCCCAGCCTGATGTGGCCCCTTTGGAGCCCACGGTCCTTTGCTTTCTCCCAAAGCACCTGGACGTCCCTGCCACGAGGACTCTGCCCTCGCACCCCGGCTAAGTGCCCTTCCTGGTGTCTCTACAGGCCACTCTGCCCTTCCACTGCAGTGCCATCCTGGCCACGGCCCTGGACGCGCTCACCGCTCCGTACCGCCTCCGCTCCGCGCCACTGCCCATGGCCCACCTGGCAGATATGCTGAACTTCTCTGGGAAGAAGGTATGCAGCGTCAGGCAGGACGCGGCCAGAGCTGAGGAAGCCACTACTTGACCTGTCCCTTCCCTTTAGGTGGTGACTGCAGCGGCAGCTGTCCCCTTCCCCCTGGCCCCAGGCCAGTCCCTTCCTGATGCCCTGGTGCAGCTGGGAGGGGCCGCCGCATGGACCCCGCTGTCTGCATGTGGGAGCCCTTCTGGGACACGCTGCTTCGCCCAGTCCGTGGTGCTGAGGGGTGTGGACAGAGCGTGCCACACCAGGTGAGGGCGGCGGGTTCTCCCCTTCGGACTCCCATCCTGGTCTCGCGCACACCTCTGGGTGTCCTGATGGCATCGCCGCGCTCTTCTCCTTCCGCCCCCGCCCCCGCCCGAGACAGGAGCCTCAGCGTCCCTCGTTGGCCACTGGCCCGCGAACACAAAAATCCCTAGGTCCTGGCCCACAGGTTAAGGATGGCTTTGGCTCTGTCCTGGCAGCCAGCTGGCCCCGGGGACCCCTCTGCCCTCACTGCTGCACGCGTGCACCGCCGGGGAAGACGTCTTGGCCCAGTACTTACAGCAGCAGCAGCCCAGAGTCAGGAGGTGAGTGCGCTGCCCGCTGCCCGTGCCCAGACCTTCCTCAGGTTCTCGCTCAACTGCTGCTCTCTCGCCCCACAGCTCCTCCCACTTGCTGCAGGCTCCCTGCAAGGTGGCTCCCCCGTACCCCCGCCTCTTCTCCCCAGGCCTCAGCCGGGAAGGTCTGCTGGCGGACGGTGCCCCGTGTGGAGCAGGTACGTGGGCGGTGAAGGCATGGGAGAGGTTTTGCTCTCTCCTTCCCTACATGAAGGCTCTCACGAGGTCCACAGTTAAACATCCCTTTATTCACTCGATGGCTCCCGAGGGACGTGGCCTTCCTCCGGAGCAGTGGAGCCCAGAGGGGCGGCACGTAGTCCGCTGGGTCCACTCCCCCGCCCAGTCTGCACGGCAGAGCCCGGGGTGAAACCACCATTTCAGGCCCCCTTTCCCGTCCCTCCGCAGCCGTGGAGAGCGTTCCCGTGCTCGGCGCCCTCTGCTCCTCCTCGGCCCTGACCCGGGCCCTGGGGGACCTGGCTGGGGAGCTCAGCAAGCTGGACGTGCGGCGCTGCGCCAGCTTCCTGGCCGCGGGGGTGGAGCAGGCGGAGCTGGACGAGGCGCTGCAGGAGCTGCGCAGCCTGGCCCAGCGCTACCAGAGCGGCGGCCTCGGGGACTAGGCGCGGCGTGCGCGGGACGGAGCCGGTTTACAATAAAGACCGCTGGCCGCCGGAGCTCGGTGCTCTGGGACTGGCCACGCCAACACAAGCCTCTGACGCGTAGAGCCACTGTGATGGGGTCCCAGGACAATAAATACGCGCCGTGGGACCTGGGTGGCGGGGAGGGGGGAGGGAGCCACGGGTACATTCGGAAAGACCCAGAACGACGCGTGACCCGGCAGAGCCCTCCCCACCCCAGTCGGCCTCGGTCCTCTGCCCCTGTGCCCGTGGCCCTACACCCAGAGCTGCAGGGGCCACGAGCGCAGCGCAAACGCTGCCCGCCGGGGCCAGCAGACGACACCCGCGTGCGCCCAGGGTCACGCGTCCAGCTCCTCCTCGGACAGGAGGTCCCCGCGGTCGGACAGCTGGTCCGTGTTGCTGGTGCTGGCTGCGTCCTCCTCCTCCTCCGAGCTGGCCTCGCACGCCGTGTGGAAGAGCCGCATGAGTTCCCGGAAACGGCGGGAGACCTGCGGCGAGAAGGGCAGCGCGGGCGCCGCCTGCAGCCAGCCTGTCTGTCCCCACAGTGAGCCCGGGAGGCGTGTCCCCCACACCGCGGGGCCCTCCCGTCCAGAGGCTTCTTAGCGCCTCGCCCCAGACAGCACGGCTCCCACGCCCGGCCTGGAATGGGGTCTGGGGCTTCAGCCACCCTGGTGCGTGGGCCCCTCCCGGGGGCCACCTGTCCAGCCGCACTCCGTGTCCTGTCTCCAGCTGGGCCGGCCGGCCCTCGCCTTCCCAGTCCACGTGCTCGGGCCCCGCCACTGACCTCGGCCGGGGTCTTGTTCCCCAGCTGCTGGGAGATAACGCTGAACGTCTGCGGCTGTGCCCCCCGCTCCTGGCACATGGTGAGAATCACGCGGTCGGCTTCCCTGGAACCCACATGCCACAATTAACCCGGTTAGCAACACGGACGTGCCCACGGTTTCCGAACACACGCAGCGGCCACTGCCCCGCCCCACCTACCTTGTCCACAGCACCACCTTTTCCCCAGTGGAGCTGACCTTGCTGTTGTTGGCACAGACCGTGGCTTCTGTGGTCTTCGGCTGCTGCTCACCCACTGGGCCCTTGCCCTGCGTTCCACGGTCCTTAGGCAACCCTCCCCTAGAGGCCTTGGAGGAAGTCTCTGAGGTGTCCTTTCCTGACGAAGAGTCGTGGACGGGCGACGTCCTGTCTGCGGTCTGCACCCCGGCTCTGCTCGAGAGCAACCAGCCCCGCGGGCTGTCCGAGACCTCAGACAAGCGCCTCCTCCCTACGTCTCTGGTCCTTGAGGAAACGGGACTCGGGAAGGAAGCAGGGCTCTCCTCAGTTCCTGGCCACTTCTCGGCTGCCGGCGCATCCCAGGCCGGCATGGAAGGCTGGGGCTCACCCACTGCCTCCTGGTCCTCGGCCCCATCCCGAAGTCTGGGGGACGCCTCGGCCTGGTTTCTCCTAACCACGGCTCCAGAACTGGAGAGCAGGGCAGTGTCGGGCGAGCAGGGCGGGGGGTCCTCCAAGGAGAGCCGCTCTGTCAGGGTCACTTCCTGAGTGCTCCCCACTGCTGATCCTGCTTAGGAGGAAATTAAGGAGCAGAGAGTACGGACGGGGCCAGGGTGCACCTGGGATGCCCGGCTACGCCGGGGCCGCGCAGGTGGGCTGGGGTGACAAAGCCCCGGTCCCCAGGACGGAGGTGGGGCTGGCTCAAGCCACTCAGGTGAAGATAAACACCCGTCAGGGCCCGGAACGGCAGTCTTTGGGGCGCCGACCAGCGCGGTCCGCGGGCAGGGGGGAGAGTGTGCAGGCGCACGGTCTCACACCCCCAATCTTCGAGAGGACGGAGGCCACAGCAGAGCGACTTGAGGCGGGACAGGAGGATCCCCTGTTACTTATTAGCGAAAGAGGAGGTATCTGTCCGAGAAGGACTTGCTGCTCCTGCTCAGAGCCGCCTGCTGGTAGTGAGGACACGGAGACCGGGGGCGGCAGGGGGGCCGGGCCGGCAGAACCTCACCTGGGCCGGGCACAGCTCCCCTGCCCGGCGGGCCCGGGGTGGCCTCCACGCCTTCCAGCTCGTCGGGGGCCTCCTCCTCCAGCACGTCCTTGCGCTGCCCGGCCTCCTTAGCACCAGGCCCGGGGCTGGCCTCCCGCTGGGGGCTGCCGCCCGCCGACTCGTGGGGCTCCTTGCTCTTGTAGGACCTGCCATCACAGACCTGCAGAACGGCCTCCCTGGTCAGGGGTCTCCCGAGGACGTTACCACGGGCTGAGCCCCGCCCCCGCGCCCAGGAGGTCCACCGAGTCCACGCGCTCTGCCACCTTTAAGCGGCCCACAGGGTGTCTGCTTCTACTGCCTGCTCCCCCAGCCGGGACTGCACCTTTGCTGCCAGCCCTCCCCCCAGAGGCCCCGCGTACTCCAAGCGCTGCTTTCCTGACACAAGTGCACCTCATTAAAAAAAGAAAGCAAGCTGAGAAATAAATATTTGAAGCAATCGATTTTTATCCAATTCCAAAAGCTTTACCCACCGGATTCTTTTTTTTTTTTTTTTTTAAGGTTTATTTATTTTTGACAGAGAGAAAAGAGAGAGTATGAGTATGCAGGGGAGGGACAGGGAGAGGGAGGGAGACAGGATCTGAAGCAGCCTCCAGGCTCTGCAGTGTCAACAGACAAGCCCGATGCAGGGCTCGAACTCACAAACTGTGAGATCATAACCTGAGTCGAAGTCAGACGCTTAACCAACTGAGCCACCCAGGCGCCCCATCCACAGGGTTGTCTTTAAAAGCAAATCCGTTCAGTACGTGTAAAAGATTCTTTTTTTTTTTTTTGGAAAAGGTAGACTTTTAATAACTTTTTATCACCAGGTTAACTCATGCAATTACAAACTACTTAGAAGTTTCTCAAGAATTACTGCTGTTTAAAAAAATAAAAGCTCATTCTTACATAAGTAATATTTAATACCTCACTGGGACACCTAAAAAGCTCTATTTTAACTGGAACGGCGTGTGCACGGCCTAGCGCGAGCATGTGGGCCTCGCAGGAGGCCAGGCCGGAGGCCAGGCCGGAGGCCCATGTGGGAGCAGACCCCGCCCCTCGGTCGCCCGCTCACCCGGCTGCTGCAGCGGCCACACCCTCGTCTCCTGCTCTTCTTCAGCTTGGGATCGGGGCCTCCCTCGGGGCAGGAGCAGGCACAGTCCCTGGCGCCATCGGGCCATTCGGCGTCCTAGGGGACACCCGCGCTCAGTTAGCGGCCCAGCACGTCCGCACAGGCCGTCTCGGTGCCTACGCCGGCCTCCTCTTTCATGAGCCCCCGGTTCTCCTCTCAGCCTGGGGACACTCAATCCCAGCCCGTTTTCATCTCCCCGACAAGCCCTCAATGACCCGAAGACCGGCATCTCCCGGTGGCCCAGATGTTTCGAGAAATACTTAAGCCACATAAGATCCGAGGCAAAGTCCCGGGAAAGCTCCGTCCGGAGGCGTGACCTCCTCCCCAAGCCTTGAGCTCCGCCCCTCCCGGCCCCCTTGAGGGGGGGCTTTCCTTGTGCTTTTGGAGGCCCCCATGGGACACGCTCTGTTCAGTAAACCCAGAGGCAAGTTATTGTCCCAACTGGCGACAGAGAGATTAAAGAAGATGTCCAAGGTCACCAGCTGCTAGGAAACCACTTTCGGCAAGGAAGAGCAGAAGAGGCGTGGGGAGGGGCCTCCTTCCTGGAGAGCAGCAGAGCACAGGCGGTCTGCGCAGGCCCGCTCGCGCCCGCGCACGGCCGCTTATGGACACGAGGCCCCGGCGACGGCCTGGCCACAAACGCTTCGGCCTCTCTAAAATGCTGGGACGGCCATGGGGTTCCCCGAGAGAACGACCAGGTACGTTCCAGGAGCACGCGCGCGCTGTCGCCGGTGCCGCCAAAGTGGGGACTCACTTCTGCGTCTTCGTGCCAAGAGGAAGGAAGAGGCGAAGACCCCCGAGAAACACCCCCGAGCGAGAGGAGAGGAGCAGCAGCCTCCCGATGGGGCGGCCGTGGGCGCGCCCCGCCAGACGCACACACGCAACCCAGGGCCCGACTCCGGACCGGCAGGCCACGCCCGACCACCGCGTACCTTGTCGTGGTTCTGGGCCCCGATCTCTCTCCTCCTTTTGCTCCTTGCGGCCGCGGGCGCCCGGGGGGGCTCCTCCTCCTCTTCCACATCTGGCAGGGCCACTTCCTCAAAGCCGTCAAACTGGGGAGGAGCGGGCGCCGCTCAACGCAGACCCCGGGCGGGCGCCCCTCGCTCACGCGGCCGGCCCGCGGCCCGAAGCCCCGCGGCCCGGGACCCGCACCTCGTACTCCTTCTCCTCCGTCCAGTTGACCTCTTCGAAGTCGCCCAGCCGACTGGCCGCCGGGCGCAGGTGGTCAAAGAAGACGGAGAACTCGTCCTGCAGGTGGTCGTGGCCCTTGAGGAGCTGCCACACCTGCGTCTTGAGCTGGGGAGGGCGCCAAGGGACAGACAGGCCCCAGGGTTTCTCCAGGCTGCAACCCCACGGCGACCCCAGACTCCAAGGCCACCTCCCCACTGCCCTGAGGGACACACGGAAGCCTCTCTGACAGCCAAGGGTTCTTCCCCTCCCCTCCCTGCGTGCGTGCCTGCGCCGGCGGGGTGCTCACGTCCGTGTGACCCAGTGACGACACTCCGATCCCCAGCTCAGGCAGCGTCCCCTGCCTCCCGCACCTCCCCCCCCCAGGGCACTGAGGGGACCCCGACACGGCAAGAGCAGGGAGGCTCTGGTTTCAGGGGACAAGCACCCCCTATTCCGGGAGCCTAGGAAAAGCCTACAGAGTCCTCGCCTTCCCCGTCCCTCCAGGACGTTCACGGCGCCCAGAAGCCAGAGAACAGGGGCCGGGTCAGGGGGCGCCAGGGGGCACAGCGGCAGGAAGCAGGCGGGAGGGGCACCTCGGTGATCTCCTGGGGCAGGCAGTCGGCGCAGCTCTGCAGGACCTTGATGATCTTCTGGTGGTGCGAGGGGTTCTCCGCGAAGCAGATTTCCAGCTGCCGGAGAAACTTGCGGCTCTTCTCAAAAGCCTGCTGCTCCTCAAACTAGCACAGGGGAGAGAAGCGGAGAGAGTCCCTGTGCGGCTGAGCAGGGCCGGGTGCTGCGAGCAGAGGACAGGAAATGCGGGCCTGGGGCGGGGTTGACGGCACGCCGCTATAACAGCAAAACCCACTTTAAGACCTGGGTCCAGGGTGTCTGACTTCAGCTCATGATCCTCTGGTTGGGGAGTTCGAGCCCCACGTCGGGGCTCTGTGCTGACAGCTCTGAACCCGCTCAGGTCCCCACCCCCGCTCTGCCCCTCCCCCGCTTCTCTCTCAAAAATAAACATTAGAAAGTATATATATACGTATACGTCAAAGGAGTCAGGCGTCCACCCGCTGTGGGCTGTAAGGCTGGCCAGCCCCCGAGACCAGGGACGTGAACAGACCCAAGACACATGCATGTGTCACGGAGCTGGGGTTCCATGCACTGTAGAATCACACTCTCAAGGTCCTGTGGTGCCACACAGTTTACAATGACTCCACACGAGCCCTCGTCTGAGCCTCGGAGCCACAGGGGAAGAGAGGGCGGAAGGGTGTGCAGTCACCCCGTTCCCAGGATGCCGGGGGGCTCTGTCGGCCCGGGTCATGATCTCCCAGTTCCTGAGTTCCAGCCCCACGTCAGGCCCCGTGCTAACAGCTCAGAGCCTGCTTTGATCCTCTCTCCCCCTCTCTGCCCCTCCCCAACTCATTCTCTGTCTCTTTCTCAAAATAAAGAAATAGACTTAAAAACCAAAAGTCACCCAACTCCCATGTGACCGCCTCAAGCCCACCAGAACCCCTCACTGTACTGCTCCTCCCGGGGTCTCTCAGTCATGACAAGACGCTAAGAACTACTAGAATATTCCCTCACGTTTACACACTTTTTCTCCAAAATTTCAAATGTCACCTTACGTGGCAGCCATCCCCCTCCCGCCTACAGCCCTCGCTGCTCTCTCCTGACACAGTCTTCGTTCTTCAAGGCCTCGTCACCAGGAAGCACTTCACACATTTACCGTTTCTGTCGGTTTCAGAAACCTCACATCTGTTTACTACATACGTTTATTTCACTGTCTATCACCTGAGTCTCCCAGGAGAACGCAAGTGCCACGTGGGCAAGGATGTCACCCTTTCTTAGCAGCGTGTGCTGCCCGGCGCGCTGGGCACTCATGAAGTGTGTGCTGCGTGGGCGCCTGTCTCACGACAGCAAGGGCACGAGGCACGGGACTTCCCTGAGGCCAGTGAGGACAAGCAAAGGGACGGCCCCACGTGGCCCACGTGAAGGAAAGGGAGAGGAGGAGCCAGGAAGGTCACCCCTTGAAAACAGGAGGGCTCTGTGGGCCAGGGCAGGGCCATGTGACCGGGAACAGTGTCCGTGAACCCTGCCCAGCCCCACGTCGCCGGCCCCGGCCACCGCAGCACTTACCAATCCACAGGCCAGGGCCTGCTCGGGCAGTAGGAAGGCAGCAAAGTCCTTGAGCAGCTGAGGCCAGTCCTGGAGCAGAAGCTGCAGGCTTCTGTAGAGATCCACAGCCGTCTGCCTCTGAGCACTGGACTCGAACTCGTAGATGACCTGGAGGAAGTCCTCGTACTTGCCGGGGGCGTGCCGCAGGGCTTCTCGCACCTGCACGCAAGAGGCACCGGCGTCAGTGCTCCGTCCGGGCGCCCACGCCAGGCAGCAGCGCCGGCCGAGGAGCAGGGGCCGTGCCGGGCCGTTCCCACAGGTCCCGGGCCCTGCGCGCGGCGGACACGGCACACACCACAGCCGGCTCACAAGCCCAGCGAGCCTCTCTCCCCGGAGCACAGCCCGGGCCTGTCCTCGCGGACGTGAGCTCCACGCGGAGACAGAGAAGGAGCGCCCCCTGCGTGTACTGCCACACGCCACCAGCGGAGGGTGAACGACACCGAAGCCAGGAAGGGGAGGCAGCAGCAGCACTGCGAGCAGGCCCCTTGCAGGGGGCGGGAGGGACGGGCGAGAACTAAATGGCTACTTTAAGAGAACGAGGCTGGGGCACAAGGCCATGGCCAGGACTGGCTCCTGTCTCTGGAGACCAAGGTGCTTCCCTGAGGTCCGCCCTGGGGCCGAGGCACAAGAGTCTTTGTTCTCAGGCTGAGGCCCCAAGAAAGGTCCTTCTTAGCCAACCCGGTGAAGTCCCCCTGTCAGATGATGGAATCCCCTTTGCCCACTTCCTGAACAACAGAGAGGTGATGCTCGGGCACTAACGACAAGCCACGTGTCACTGAGCCCTGTGCCTCCGGCCCCTCCCGCAGACCCCTGGAAAGGAGGAGAAGCGGGCTCAGAGGGACGGGCGCAACAGGAAGCAGCATCCGCATACCCTGGTCAGGTAAGCCTGGGCGAAGGCCAAGTCCTTCTGCTCCCGGAGTGGGTCCCGCTCAAGAATGTCCTCGTCGTACAGCAGCAGGAGCTTGGCGGTGTCCTTGCTGGCCCGGGCCCGGCCTCCCCGCCTGCCGCGAGCCCGCTGGCCGCTCCGGCCCTTCCCCGCGGCCCTGCCGCCCTCTCCTGGGGAAGACGCAAACCCGTGGCTGCTCTGACCCGCCCCTGCGCCTCAGGAGAACGCGCCCCTGCACCCGCTGCCGCTGCTGCCGGGGGAAGCGGGGGTCTGGGAAGGGCTCAGGAGACCCCGCCCTCGCACCCACCGCCCCCGGCCCGGATCTGGGAGGGCCTCGGGAGAAGCGCTGGCGGGAAAGGGCGGGAAGGCGAGGCCCCGGGCCCGTGCAGGCGGCCGTGCCGCGCGGGACACTAGGGCACCTCCGCCGCCGCGCACTGAGGGAGGGAGGCGTGGGAGCGAGCACAGCCTTAGCCGGGCTCCCGGAGGGCTCCGTGCCAGTGAGGAACAGCAGCGTTTTCTGAAATGAACGTAGCTCTTAGCCTCACACGTGACTGATGGTCTGAGAGCCACCTAGATACTGGGACGACTCTGGGAACAAAGCTGGCAGCGCGGGCGCCGGACCCAGGAGCCTGGGGGAGGCCGAGGGCAGGGGATTCCCCACCTGGCGGGGCGCTGCCGGCCTCCGCCTCCGGAGCGGTCCCGGGCGAGGCGAGGGCGGCCGGCGGCTTCTCGGCAGGGTCCCCGGCGGCCTCGTCTGTCATCTCGTCCTCCTTCTGCAGGCTTTCCATCCCTTCTGCCTCCTCCTCCTCCTCCTCCTCGGGCTCAGAGTTCTCCTCCTGGGAGTTCTCCTCCTCGGACTCGCCCTCCTGGCCCGCGCGCCTCTCGGAGGCCAGCCAGGTCAGCTTCTCCATGGTCTCCTGCAACCCCCGAGAGTGTCCCCAGGGCTGGCATCGCCGCGCCAGGGGCCACCAGGGCCCAGCATGAGTCGGCACCCAGGGGGACACGATGCGTTTTGAGAGGTGCCCTCCACCCTGGCGACGGCTCTCCTCTGTGGGCTGCACACGTAGGACCTACACGTGGAGCCATTTAAACCACATGCAGGGGATTCACTCTAACAGGTGAGGGACTGCCCCAAGCCTCACGCCGGAGTAAAAGTTCACCCTTCTCCTCTCCTCTCGTCCCCCGCCCCCCAACCTGTGTCTCACAGCGTTGTCAAGAGTCACACAACTAGGGGCAGGACTCTCTAAACACAGCACGCAAGCAGGTGGCCTATCAGTAAATGAGGCAAACGGCTGAGACCACAGAACACATGCGAACGTTCCCCGGCTCTCACCTGGAGCTCTGGGACGGACAGCACAGACTCCTCGGAGGCTGAGGACATCCCGTCCTCCTCGTCCTGGGTTAGGTCGTCAAAGTCCTCCTCCTCCTCCTCCTCCGGCCCGTCCTTTTCCACCCCAGCTTCCGGCCCAGCCGGGGTCCCGGCCGCCTGGCTGTCGGTGCCGGCCACGGCCTCAAACGTGCCTGGGGGGCTGCTGCGCACCGCGTCGGCGTCGGCACAGGACGGCGCTACCTTCGGCGAGCCTCTGCTCACGGCGCCCAGGCGTCCCTCGTCCCGAGAGGCTGCGGCGGCTCCCGCGGGCGGACTTCCGTCCTCCGCCTGCTGCTGCGGGGCGGGCGGCCGCCTGGGCTCACCGGGCCCCTCCCCTGGGAAGCCAGCGTCCAGCCCCTCAGGGCGCCCTCCCCCGCTGTCCTCACCGGCGCCCTCCCCGGGCTCGTTAGGCTCCACCTTGACGGCCTCCTCCGTGTCCCCGGCGGGCACACTCACAGACTCTCGGGAGCCCGGCAGTGGCGACTCCACACCCGGGCCCCCGTCCTCCGCTTTCCCAAGGGTCCGGCCACGGGTGCTGTTCTCTGACAGCTCCTCCTGGCACACGCGGTCTGCTGCCGGCGGCCCTGGGCTGTGCTCCTCTTTGGGGAAGACAGGGGCACAGAGAGGAGACGGTTCCTGGGGTTCTAATTTGGGTTCCAGGCCTTGAAAGGCATCTTTCGCTTCAGCCGAAGGACAACCGATGTCCACGCTCACTTGGGTCTTATCTTCAGGGGCGGCGGGGACAGGAAGACTCACAGAGTTGCCGGAGACGATGAGGGGTGGGAGAGAGGAGGCCACCAGAGGCTGGTTCAGCGGGCAGGGGAACGAAGTGGGGTTCACCAGGAGGGTGGTGATGGGAATGGCCTGTGGGCTCTGGGCCACGGCCGCGCTGACAGGCTGGATCACACTGCAGCCACTGCCAAGGCTCACGACCTTGACCGTGGTGGCGGGCACGGTGAAGATAACAGGTACGGGGTGGATGAGGGAGGCTGGCTCCAGACACAGAGAGGCCTTGGCCCCCTTTCTCTTTGAGGCTCTTGGCCTTGCACATGGCTTTCGAAACTTAGAAGGGGCCAGTGAGGGCAGCAACACCTTGGGCACAGGGGCAGAGGGGAGCACGGTCTGCGGCTCAGACAGAGGGAAGCCAGTCCTGGCCTCGGGAGTCGTGGGAGGCAGTGCAGCCGGAGACTCAAAGCCGTCTCCGCCAGGGCCCCCCAGTGGAGGGACACCTGGCACCGTCTGTACGACGGCAGCTGGCTGGATCACGTGAGGAATTCGAACCACCATTTTGCTAGGAGGGGCTTCGGCCTGAGCAGACGGCGCCGGAGTTTTCCCGGGGGCCAAGCCAGGCGGGAGGGAGGGGCTGGGCCTGATTAGGAGGGGCTTCAGGACAGGTGGCCGCTTCTGCCTCCAGGCCTTCCTGGAAAAACAGTTGGCAACTGGCTTCAGTTTCAGGACTACACCCTTGGGCAACAGCAGTGGGTACGGAGTCTCACTGCCCAGTTCCGAGCTGCCTGTCCCCAGGCCTGGCTCTGAGCTGACCTCAGCGGCTCCCGTCACACTTCCTACCCCTCTGGCGCCGTCAGCTCTGCGGCACAGCTGCTCCCGGATGGACGGCAGGCTGGCCTGTTGAGAGCAAGAACACACGGATCTAGCACATGTCAGGATCTAGCAAAAAAAAGCAGCGCTTGCTGGATTTGTGGGACCTCCTCGGACAGTCTCCAGAAATCTTTCCGAGAAGGATTCTTCTGCAGGACAACGAATTTCTACAAAGACTACATTCCAATCATACCCTCTAGAAACTCATTTGGCCTGCTTTTCAAAGACTGTAGAGCCACCCGGGGGAGGGCAAGAAGCAGGAGAGGAAGGGTGCGTGAGGGAGAGCGCCAGTGCCCCGTCCCACAACTCCAGCACTGGGGGCAAGAAGTGGCCCTTGGCGGCTCTGGCAGGGTTTGGTGTCGCTCGGCCACGTGCGCACTCAGGGAGGAGGCTGCACCTTTAACCAGAATGGAAGCCGATGCTCCTCCCTCTCTACAGGCGGCCTCCACTGATGCGGCTCGATCTCCTCACAGCACTTCACCAGGACGGGCAGCTGTTTGGTCTTCTTATAAAACTGAGCAAGAAGCAATGAAACAGGAGTTACGTTCCATCAGGCTGGGGAGCGGATTGTGCTCACACACACACACACACACACACACACACACACACACACACGTTCATGCACGTAACCAGCACATGCTAAATGCTTCTGCACGTCAAGTTACACTAATCCCCAGTGAAGATTTTATAACACTCTGTGTCATCAGACAGGGACAAGTTTAGGTCACAGAGAAAAGGAAGCAGATGGTCAGAGCAATCATACTTAAAATCTGCTCCTACTCAACAGCTGTCACGATAGTGCCTTAGCCCTCATCTGGGAAACATGGAAGCTTCCTATGAAGGAAATAATGGTGCAAAGGACACCAGAAAGGAGGCAAAGAAGAGAAGAGACATGGAGGCAGTTCAGTTCTAAGAGTAAATTAACAGGGGCAGAGAACTCGCAATGACTGGAAGCATCCATTCAAGCAACATCTGTGCTACAGGCCGAGCATACAAATGAGAGAAGATGCTCCTGGTCCCAAGGGGCTAACAGACCAGAAGGAAAGACAGTCAGGGAGGCCAATGACGACGTCTTCCGCAGGAAAGTACAAAGACGCACAGAAGAATGACACACATCCAAAATTTGAACGAGAATATTTCTGGAGCAGGTGCAACTACAGATGAATCTTAACGGCACAGAGTTTGCTAAAGCAAGGGGAGGAAGGAGGGAGGGAGGGAGCGGGGCGGGGGCAGGGGGTGGGGGAAGGGGAGGGGCAGGGCAGACTTCCGGCTCCCAGTCTCCCAGTCTCGAACACGTGTAAGGAACCACATGGAGACTGATCTGGCTGCAACAAAGGAATATGGAGGGACCTCCAGACACAAGTCAGAGGGAAGACAAGGTGGGCTTTCCGTGCCGCACCAGGCGGTCTGACCTGTGTCCAGAAGGGTTATCTGGAGGTGGCTAAGGCAGCAACGTGAGGGACAGAATAAATTACGCCAGAATCAGAAATCCCCAGTGGAAACTAGCATGTTCCTCACGGTGTCACCAAGGCCGATGAGCAGCAGGGGAGGAAGCAAGTAAGACCGCAGAGGAGCTGGTGAGAGACCAGCATGCGGAAGCAATCGCGCGGGGGAGGGTCAAGGAGAACTCGCAGCAGCGCGGGCTGAGACAACAGCCAGGTGGAGCGGATCACAGCTGGGGTGAGTGGTGTGTGCACAGGGGGTCTGCTGGTGCCAGCCGGGGGTGGCCACGTCTGGAAGGTGCAGAGGGACACGGTTCAGACCGAGGCGTCGGTGAGGCAACCGAAAGACGACTTCCTGGCAACAGCTGGCGACACAACGCAGACGCCTGGGAGAAAAGTCCAGACCAAAGACACTGACCCAAGGATCGTGAGGGGGCCACTCGCACCAACACGCACAAACACAAAGGGGCCCACACGCTGCCAGGTCCCTGCGGAACACGGACACTGGGTAGAGTGGGCCGGGGGGACTTGGTGAAGGAGCTGCCATGACAGCAAGACGTGGCGTGCAGTAGTGAGCGAGCTGCAGGGGCAGCAGGCCAGCCACGCGGAGCAGCGCCGGAATTCGGTCCCTGGGTCACTGATGGGGGGGGGCGCACTGAGGTCTTGCAGGGCAGACGTCCACACTTGCAGCAGTTACACAGTTAAGGAAGAACTTAGTGTTAAAACAGATTAAGCACATCCGTCTGGCTTTGTTCCTCCTTAGAACCCCATGAAAGGAGAAGGGAGCTGTGGTGAGGTGGGAGCCTACACGGAGAGCGGACGGAAGGAAAGGTAAAAAGCAACACACTCTCCAAAGCGAAAGAGTGGACGGAGGAGTAGAGACGCAGGGAAACAAAGAGCCAGATCCCATGCGGAGGGAAGTTTTAAGGGCCAGCTAGACAGATGTCCAAGCAAAACCTCTAGAAGTGGGGGTAAAGCTGGTACAGAAGCAGACAAGAAGGACAGTGTCACCCAAATCCCACCCCAGCTGGTGTAGCCGGGCGGCGGCCACCCCAGGCCCAGTGGCAGCGGCTGGACTGAAGCCTCTGGAGACAGCTCCAGCCTCCATCCTGTCCTGCTTCCCACGCGCCCTCTGCCATTCGCCATTAAAAACTATTCAATGAACAACAACAAAAAACAATAAACCAAAAAAAAAAGGTACTGGAAATTTACAATATAACAGGAAAAATACAGAAAGAGAAAGAGAAAGATTACAAGGAAAAGAAAAACAACTGAACTAACACTCCAGAACGTACAACAGAAGACGGAGTGTCCACTGCAGGGGAAGCCGGCGGGGGGGGGGGGGGGGGGGGGGGGGGGGGGGGGGGGGGGTGCGGGGAGGCTGGCGGGGAGGACTGCCCAGTCCGCGCGGAACTGACGACACCGGACCTGCACCAGTGTCCATCCTACCATGAAATTCCAAAACCCTGGACAAAAGGAAACACCCTGCGTGCTGCCAGGGGGACAGGAAGCGCAGGTGTCACACACGTTCAAGAAGCAAAATGGCATCAAACCTCTAAAGAGACGGCACTAGCAACTGGAAGAAGATGGAGAAGGCCCTTCAAAGAACTGGATGCTTAACCAGCTGAACCACCCAGGCACCCCGACCCTTAAACATTTCTAAGAATAATTATTTTCCTTTTTTTTTTTTTTTTAATTCTAGGAGAGAGAGAGAGAGAGAGACAGCGTGAGCAGGGGAGGGTCAGAGAGAGAGGGAGTCACAGACTGAAACAGGCTCCAGGCTCCGAGCTGGCAGTCAGCACAGAGCCCGACGCGGGGCTCGAACCCACGAGCCGCGAGATCGTGACCTAAGCGAAAGTCGGACGCTTAACCGACTAAGCCACCCAGGCACCGGTAAGAATAATTATTTTCAACTTTGGGGCGGCTGGGGGCTCAGTCAGTTAAGCGTTTGACTCTTGATTTCAGCTCCGGTCACGACCTCACAGTTGATGAGGAGGAGCCTGGGCCGGGCGTCGGGCTCTGCGCTAGGTGTGGAGCCCGCGCGGGATCTGCTCCCGCAGCTCGCGCTCTCATTAAATACATACCTGAGAGAAACATCATTTCCACCCTCAAACTGCAGACGTACTAAAGGTGGAGAGTAGAAAAGGGATATGTTTTTAAACTTATTTTAAATAATTACAGACGCATAAGAAGTTGCAAAAACAGAAACGTCTAATGTAGCTCTCCCCCAAGCTCTCCCAATGGCCACACCTATGTCACAAAGCGACAACAGTCACACACAGACCAGGACCAGGTAGAGAGCGCAGCAGCTGGACTGGGCCGCGGGCTCCAGGACCCCACAGAGCGTGAGTATTGTGAATTCGCACAATTTCAGCAGAAACACCCGTTTCTCTGGTGTTCTTCCCCAGACTGCTACGAGCACAGCCCCACTGAAACAGGACAGTAAAGAAGACAGCACAGACGAGGGCCCGGGGACAATGGGGACACACACAGGCAGGAGGCGCCAGGACGGCCCAGGATGATGGGGGAGAAAAGTCCAAGAAGACCCTGTGCAAGAAGGCGAGAGAGGGACGTGTGCAGAGGGAAGGGGCTCAGAGGAGTCAGGGACGGGACATCCACAGTGTGAACACGCTCACAAGACATTCGTGACACGCCGGTCAACTCCAGCGTAGATCAGCGAACACGCACCCCTGACAGCGAGCCCTGCCTGCACCCCCAAATTCAACTACTACCCCACAAAACACAACACGCCTGCACGGAAAGCCGAGCAACCATGCTGGAGCACTCTGCTCAGCTGGGAGGAGCTTTCACAGCGCGCTCGCGTGGTCTGATGTGAGCCCTGAGCACGATCCAGCCACAACTGTGGTCTCATGGGAAAGCCGGACAACAGGAGAGGCCGTGGTGACGTTGGGGCTGTGGCGCGGGGGCGGGGGCTGAGTCTTCACCGCCCCGGTTGTGCTTTCATAAGTGACGCCCAAATGCAAAACGTCAAGAGGTGGCAATGGCCGGCATGCCACCCAGACACAGAGGAGACACACCGTCCCTCAAACCTCAGCAGGAAACAGAGAGGGAAGGTCATTTGTCATGACCAGCCTCACAGGACTATCTGACTCCTCAAATACAGACCCTTCAAAGCTCTTATTCACCTTGTATGAAGAATATTCTCTTAACTCTGATAGAGATCTCTACACAGAGGGTCAAGGACAAGGATACGGTGGAACATTCGCCCTTTCAAGAAGGCTGGAGGCAGGGAGTGAACGGCTAGCGGGAAGCGGGAGGCAGAGAAGTACCGTACGAGTCGGGATACTTTCCTCGTTAAGAGAAACACGCACAGAGGAGGGAGAGGGACTGCAGGGGGCACGGCCGCGAGTGCCCAGCTCGGGCGGGAGGAGCCGGGCCAGGTGCCCGCGGCGCTCACCTTGATGATGTTGTCGGGCGCACGGTTCATGTTGAGGTTCTTGATCCGCACGGTCAGCTGGTGGGCCGTCTTGCAGGTGAGGAGGTACTTGCTGATCAGCAGCTTCGGGAACTTGGTCCCCTCAAAGTGCTTCAGCCCTAACGCCAACAAACTGCGAGAGGGGCAACCGCCTTAGTCTCACCGCCCTGCGTTCTGCGGACCGTGCGCCCCACAGGGTAACGGCCCACCGTTTCTGCACCTCATTCTCGTGCAGTCAACGGCGGCTCCACACAGAGCGGCAGGTATTTACTGAGAGCCGGCAGGTTCTCTGATGAAGACCCGCCCAGTTCAAAGAAGGAGAATGGGGCTCAGAGAGCAGATGCGAGATGGGCAGGGGCACCGTGGGTGACGCCGAATCAGCACCAGCTGCCTCCCCACACGCCCCCTTCAGCTGCGGGTCCCGGCATCCCACACCCCGCAGGCTGCTGCGGCAGGGGGCGGTACAAAAGCCAGGAAAATGTCCACAACCTTTGTCAAATAATCTCACTCTTGGGAATCTGCCCAAAGGGGTAAACTCAAAAGACCTTCAAAAGCTCGAGGCACAAAGACCCTTGGGGAAGCCTCACTACAAAGCAAAACAAGAGAGGAGAAAAAAAACAGCGGCAAATGAAAGGACTACGGTGAGGCCACTAAATACCACTTTAAGAGACAACATACAGACACAAAAATAAAGACACTGTGACAGCACAGAAGTATAATTTCAAGGCATTGGGTCAAAAAAATTGTACAAAAACTGCCAATAAAAATTATATGAGAAATGCAGAAAGTTTAAAAATCACTGGAGGCACCTGCTGGCTAAGTGGGTAGAGCACATGACTCTCAATCTCAGGGCTGTGAGTTTAAGCCCCACAGTGGGTATAGAATCTACTTTAAAAAGGAGAGAAGGGGGCGCCTAGGTGGCTTAGTCGGTTAAGCGTCCGACTTTCGCTTAGGTCATGATCTCACAGTTCGTGGGTTCGAGCCCCGCGTCGGGCTCTGTGCTGACTGCCAGCTCAGAGCCTGGAGCCTGTTTCAGAGTCTGTATCTCCCTCTCTCTCTGACCCTCCCCTGCTCACGCTGTCTCTCTCTCTCTCTCTCCTAGAAATAAATAAAAAATATAAAAAAAATAAAAAGGAGAGAGGGAAGGGAAGGGAGGGGAGGGGAGGGGAGGGGAGGGGAGGGGAGGGGAGGGGAGCACCGTCTTAGGGCGGTTAGGATAACGGATAATAAGTGGATAATGGATAACAATGACAGCTCCGAGCCTGGAGCTGCTTCAGATTCTGTCTCCCTCTCTCTATGTCCTCCCCCCCACCCCCGGCTCATGTTCTATTTCTCTCTCCCTCTCAAAAATAAACTTTTTTTTTTACATTCTTTTAATTTTTTTTTCCTTTGAAAAATTTTCTCCACCAGTACCATGAGCTTGGTTTTTTTACAATAAATCAAAAACAAAACACAAGTTAAAAATGTTTCAGAAGAGTGCACACTGTTCCCCAGAAAGCAGCGTCTAGCACTGCTGCGCGAACACGGTGCAGAACCCGGCCGGCGACAGGGCTTTGCGTCCACAGCGGATGACACGCCTTACTTCCCCTGAGCGCAAGAAACACAACTAGCTCCCCTCGGGTCACTCCGAGCGTTTGTTCCCCCACAGGAAACTCTTACTTGTCCTCGGCCTTCGTGAAGAAAATCTTATCCTGGGGATTCTTCGCTTTCAGGGAACACACCGGAAGCAGCTCTGGATACATGAACACCTTGCTCGTGGCCAGGATCCAAGCCACTTGCTTTGGCAAACAGGGAAATTCATCTGCTGTGAGGAAAAAAAAAATCCTGTGGTAAATGAAATTCTAGAACAAAAGAGGGCTTCACAAACGCTTCCGAATGCATTCTTGCATTTTCCTAGAGCCACCCTACCCAGGGACATCGCACCCGCCTGCACCCGCCCGCCCTCGCCCCGGGTTCCGGCCCTCGGCCTCGGCCTGACACACGCCTTCCCTGTGTCCCCCCTGGGCTCCTGCCAGCTAGTCCTCTCTCCGTTCCGTGAGGAACCCCTGACGCCGGGGCAACAGGGGCTCTCGCCGCACTCATCACCCAGAGCAGCCGGCTCGCAGCGTGTGCTGGGTCGTGACCTCCTCTCCCCCTTTAAATCCTTGGAAGATAAGGGACCCTCAACAGGGCTTGCTTTCTTCCAGGGTAAGATGCCAACTTCTTCTTTCATCTCCTTCACAAAACTGGTATTCCAAATTTTATTTGATTCTTACTTAACTTTCATTAAGCCTCCCAGATTCCTCCTGAGGTTGGGAACAAAAGGCACAGAAGGGTTCTAGACAGTTCTGTCCTGCTGCCTCAGCCTCTCAATTCCAGGCCTGTCTGCCTCTCCAGAGAGAAAAAGCACTACATTCATAGTTTTCCTTCCACAAATGTTCTTTTTCTCTTCCCGGAAGGGAACACGGGACACCACAGGTGGCATTATCACCGTGGCGTGCTAGGTTCTCACTACCAACTCAGAACTAAGAAAGCAGTTGGAGATCCGTGTGAGTGATATGCTGCACTTAAACTCAACTATATTCAAGTTGATTGCAGAAGTCAGGGATGTAAAAAGAAAATCCGAAGACAAACCCACATCCAGAGCAAACCATAACCAATCTGCTAAACCAGGAAACGTGCTCAGCCAGCAGCATCCTCAGAATACTGAGCGTGGCAAACGTGCAACGTCTCTAACTTGTGCCTAATTTCTGAATCAACATTTCAGTCAAAATGGAGACACCACTGCAGCCATTAAGGAAAATAAAAGTTTCTTAATGAAAAAGAGAGTAAAAACCTAACCAGAAACCCACTTAACCACTTGACTTTCACTTTTGCCAGACCCCAGTCCGTTACGCCACATCGACCTGGGTCACACCTCTGCCCCCTGCAGCGTCCTGTCCACCGCCCTGGCCCTCACAGAAGCCCAAACACCATCACGTCCTTCGAGAACTTAGAGCATGCGTATGAAGGACGACATCACAAATGTCCCATCCCCCAGGAGGTGAGGTACGGGATGAGACTCCCGCTTCTCAATGAAAGTAAAGAGCAGGAGTGGGCACGTCTGTCGCGTACCGGTCTTCTTGACGGTTTTGCGAGGACTCCAGTCGATGCTCACGTGTGTGCTGAAGTCTTCCACGAGCTGCACGGCCCCCAGCAGGTTACACGGCTGGAACAAGGTCTGAAATCTCGGGTTGAACTGATGGTGAAGAGCGACGGAGCTCTGAGCAAAGGTACCCAGCTCTTTCTGGGAAAACAGGGCACAAAGGAGACCTCAGTCCCAGACAACTCACAGTAGCAGACCCCTCATTACCTCTGAGGGGGATCTGTCCTCCAGCTAGAGGCTAAAAACAGGCAAAAATCACTGTAATCAATTATCCCACTGAGACTACTCTTCGGCGGAGCCCGCGGATATCCAGCGATGGCGCCTGACAACATGCTCGTTTGTTCCTGTCTCACCCCTCAGCCTTCAGGATGTTCCGTCTGGCTCCCCAGCGAGAATTAAGGTTCTCAAGAGTTAGAACAATGACTGTTTAAATTTTCTCTTTGGGTTTCTCTGAATGACACCTAAATGATTTCAAAATTAAAAGCTCTTCCAAAATACTTAAAAATGTCAGGACTGAAACTAATTTTATACACACAGATATTGAACCAAATGAACGGACAATGATTTTAATAAAGAAAAAAAAGAAGTACGAAATCCCTAAGAAGCCAGGAGAGGTCTAAAGCTGAGGAGGACGACCCAGAAAAAAGGTCAGAGGAACAGCCCTAAGAAAACTGGACAGCTCTCTGGTCTTTCTGGGAGTCAGAGGCTGATGCTCTCTGAGCAAACACGGGAAGCCACAGGGGCAGCTGCCAAGACGTGCAAGAGACAAGAATAAATGCAGACGGTACTCGGTGAGCATCTATGAGAAGCGACCTGCCAGCCTAACGGATCCCCAAGTCTTTAGAGGGAAGGACACTGGAGCCTTACGAGAAATATCCTGGTGGTACTGGCCTCCGACGTGAGGTTGGGGTTGGAGGAGGCGAGAAGGTGAATTTGCGTCAAGAGCTGCACGTGCTGAGGAGGGAAAGAAAACAACACATGACACGTTACGAGGTTGTCATGTCAGGGACCCAGAAGGCCTTCCCGAGATGTCTGCCACTTGACCACACACTTTGCTTTCAGAAGAGACCCGGAGAATGGCAGCGTATTGTGGCATGAGCCTCTCAGAGATGTTCCCCCAGCAAGACAACAGCACCAGAAGCATCTTAGCCTCAAGTCAGAGGGACTGAAATTAGGAGAAAAAACAACTCCGGCAAGTGAGGCCGTTCTGCTCAGAATGGATTATTGGAGACAGAAATCTGGGATTCTGATTCAAGGGTTGCTACACGAGTGTGCGCTCTTGCCCGAGCCCTAGGAGTACAAACGCGATGCTTCCGAGGCCCTAAGTGACGTGAAGACCGTGGTCCTATGATTTCAGGGCACGTCAAGACACCTGTTTCTGATGTTCAGAAAACGGGTGCTTCCTGGCTTCGGCGGCGTGCCCAGGATGACCCGACGCCGACTTCACGCGGAGTCTCACCTGCTGCATCTGCTGCTGGAGCCGCCGCCTCTGCGCAGGGTCCAGAGTCAGCGTCTGATGGACTTTCTCACTCTGGGGCTTCACCCTCTCGGCCTCCTGCTGCTGTCTGCCCGAGGACTTCTTCATCTTCAGCTGCTCCAGCTGCTCCTTCACTGTGCGGTGCTGCTCATTTAACAAGTTGGCCAGCGGTTCCTCAAACCTACCGTCAACAGGGAGACAACCAGACGTGAACACTTCCCCAGGTCGCCGGCACGTCCGGCCCCTCCCGACGGCGGCCCACGCGCCTGAGTAAATTCCACCTTCTGCCGACTCCCACGTCCCACTTCAGCCAACAAACTCCCAGCCTGTCCAAGTCTTTCCCCAAAGCTGTCAGCATAAATTCAAGCAAGATGGTCCTGAACTGCACTGCCGCCTCATTCGTTCACAGCTAGTCTCTAAACAATACACAAGTGACGGAGGAATGAAACAAAACTCAAGGAACAGGGAAATGTCTGGATAACAAAGGAGTCCAAGGGCCAAAGGGACTAACTTACCACCCATGGGTCCTCCTGGCGTCCAGTTAGCCTGGGACGTGTCCCTAACTGTGATACAGAATCTTCTCCAAATCCACCAGTTCCCCAATTCACCCAAGACCACACCCCAGGTCCAGCTTCTGCCCTCCTCTGTCCCCCCCCCCACCCCCATCCATCCAGGCTGCCCTGCCTTCCTTTCTGACAAAGACCTAGTGTGAAGGGATTCGCTAAAACACAGGACAGCTGGGAAGCACAGAGAGAAGCTGGTTCCCTGCCCACCCCCCCAACCCCCTGCGCGGCCCCTGCCAACCCCCCCCCCCCCGAGAGCCCATCCAGGGCGGAGGCACCAGCGGGCTGGGCTCTGAGGCAGGCCTGACCCTCCAGCAGGTATGAAATCTCCTACGTCCTAACAAGAGTAACAACAGTTAAACGCTAGCTTTTCTGCAGCCTCTAGAGATAAAGACTCTTGTTTCCCTTCACGGTGTTTGCTGTGAACCTGGGCAGGCACAGTCCTCTGCGCACTGTTCCCTGAGATCTGAAAACTCTCCGTCCCCCATGTTCCCAGCAGGGCGACAGGAGCAGAGCACGGAGATGCAGACTAAGCACAAAGAGCCGCAGCTGGTTTTACAAAGGACAGGGTAAGGGGGTTCGGGCGCTCACGTTCCCCGCAGCCGAAGCACGGTCACAGATCAGCTGAACCACGAGCCATGGCTTGCATTAAGCGGGTCAAAGAAAGACTCTTAGAAATCTTGAAAATGTTTCCCCCAAAAAAGGAACATGAGGTGATGGAGCGTCACCTAACTTGACGGGGGGGTCTTCTCACAGTGTCAACTTTCATCCTATCACCACGGAGCACACTTTCAATATTTTACCACTTTGTCAATTATACCTCGACAAAGGGGCTGCCTGGGCAGCTCAGTGGGCTGAATGTCCAACTTTGGCTCAGGCTATGATCTCATAGTTCGTGAGTTCGAGCCCCACACTGGGCTCTCTGCTGACAGCACAGAGCCCACTTCCAATCCTCTGTCTCCTCTCTCTCTCTGCCTGTCCCCCACTCACACTCTCTCAAAAATGAATAAACATTAAAAAAAATTATACCGCAATAAAGATTTTAAAAAAAAGGGGGGGATACCGCGAGAGTCTGTTGCAGTTTTATTATAGTATTTATTATAACGGAGCATTAGTGAGATTTCTGGCTTTTATGGAATGGTTACCGGACCTTGTCTTTTCTACTAAATTGCCCGTTCCCTGAAGGCCTGGCTTTCAGATGGCTCCCCAGCTCTCTGGCCAGGTCACACGGGTAAGTCCAACCACAGGACGAGGCTGTGCTCTGCCCCACCCACAGCACTGAGCACACCCTGACTTCCACCCAGTCACCGGACCACATGTGCCGCCGCACCAAACGGGCACCACCCCGCAGCACCGACGGGCTCTACAGAGCCCTGGCACACGGGAAGATCAAAGTGCCCGCCCGCCGGCCGGCGCCAGCGTTCTGTGAGGGGCACGGTGCCTCAACTTCAAGGTCCGAGCATTACTGCTCATGGTTCCCGGGCCGCTCAGCTACTGCCGTGGCGACTGCCCGACTGTCGCTGACATTACCCGACGTTAGCGGCTAATAAGGAGAACACGGGACACGCGCTAGCATGAGCGGGGACGGTTTCTGTGGCTGGCCATCGAGCCCTCCCGCCGCTCCAGCACCGCTCGCCTGGAGCAGCTGCTGTGGGCGCCAGCGACTGTTTTCTCTCCCTTCCCAAACAGACGCAGCCCGGCCTGTGGCTGCGCTGCCCCACAGTAAGGAGACCGGTTCCCAGGAGGCGCTCCTTCCGTCAGTAACGGCAGGGGGTCAGCGACGGGACACCGAGCCCCGGTGTCTGCGGACACGCTCCCGCCCACGGCACCTCGATGTCCCTGGCCGCCTACCGCAGGGCTTGCGGGGTGTTGAAGCTCGGCCGCGGCTCGGCCACGCGCTCCTCCTCCTCCGGGCCGTCATCCTCCACATTGGAGAGCCCCATCTCGTCCTGGAACTGCGGGCAAAGGGGGAAGGGCGTGGGCAAGTCACCCCAGCAGTGACGGGGAGGGGGGCCACGGTCCGGACTCTAACAGCGCGGGCACCCAGAACAGCTTCCTCACAGCCTTCCTCACTTCAGGGCACCCACGAGCGTGGCCGCAGCTGACTGTCAGGAACAAAGTGTCCCGATCGGCCACTTGCAGTGGTAAAGACAGAGCACAGACAACTCACAACGATCAGAAATACCTTTCAAGAGACAAGTTTATGAGAAATGCTAACCGTCTGTGCCGAGAATATCCCCAAACTAATTTGCAGTCTTTACGGATGCACCAAAATACGTCTGGGGAGGCCACCCAGAATTTGCAAGGGGGATTTTACTGAGAACAACCTACATAAGGACAAAGTGTACCAGTGAGCGAAATTCTCCTCTCACTAGACTCGTTCCTGAGGCCCTGAGCCGGCTTGGCCAAACCACCCCCCTGGATGGACAGACCTGGGACTACACCCCGAGTCCCCACTCAAGGACCGTGTACTCACAGTTTCAAACAGCTCTTCCATGAGTTCATTCACTTCCTTCTCTGGAAAAAAGCCATACGGAATTGTTGGCACGAGTTAGTTTTATTTTCCAATCAGAGGGAATTCCAAAAAGACAGTATATCTTCCTTTCAGCAAGACGCTGGATAAAATCCTCATGTCCATCATTCATTCATTCATTCATTCATTCATTCAAAAACATGTCCTATATACCAACTATGCCTCAGTCCCTGCTCCAGATGCTTGGGGACATGTGACAGAGCAAACAGGCCCCTTGGAAAGTTCTGCTGGGAAGACATGCAGGGAGTGAGGGCTAGATGATCTTCCCGTAACATAAATCCACGGTCCTGGCCTGGCCTCCTGAGTGCAGCCGAGAGAGAACGTGAACTATAAAGAACTGCATGCATAACCCAGAAGACACAGAACACACTGATCAAATCTGAAAATCACGTTGTGCTGGAAGGGACTGCTAGACCAACTGATGACAGATTTAAAATTCCATGTGTTCTCAAACTAACTGGATGAAACTTGACAAGCTGAAAGTCTTACATTCAAGATTCTTCAAAGTCAGGATTTTTTTTTTAAATTTTTAAATGCTTATTTTTGAGAGACAAGAGAGAGAGAAAGAGAGCAAGCAGTGGAGGAGTAGAGAGAGAGGGAGACACAGAACCCAAACCAGACTCTAGGCTCTGAGCTGTCAGCACAGAGCCAGATGCAGGACTCAAACACACTGTCCATGAGATCATGACCTGAGCCGACGAAGCCACCCAGGCTCCCCCAAAGTCAGTTTCTTAAGTGGATGAAAAGGTGAAATGGCTCAAAAACAATCTGAAAAACATGGGAAGACTTTGATTGACCTCAAGTTTAATATGACACGGCCACTCCAAAACCATGCGAGCGTCCAAGAAGGCACGCCTGTCACGGGACGGCTAGGTGCAGGGGACCGAGGCAGGTCCGTGGCCGTCTTGGTAAGAGCCCCTCGGAAGACGGCAGACAGAGCTGAGACCAAAACGCTGATGAAGATGTGTAGCGACTGCAAGTCCATGAGGAGGAAGATGGAAATCCACTCTGGGAAAAGGTCTGAAAATTCCTTCTAGAACTAAGCACACATCTCCCCTCTGACCAGGGATTCCTTCCCTGGACAGCGGACCCAAGACAAAGGAATCACCTGTCCAGAAAAGGCCTGCACAGGAGAGTTCAGAGCACTTCCTTCAAAATGGCAAAAAGTTAAAAAACCCAGGTGTCCATCAACACCTGGGAACAGATGAACAGATGGCCAAGAGGTGCATTTATACGACAGAATCCCGCTCAGCAATGGAAGGAAAAAAGTACTGATACTTGCAATACAGCTGAACCTCAAAAACAGTATGCTGAGTGAAAGAAGCTTTACACAACAGAGCACATACATGAAGTTCTGAAACAGGCAAATCTAATCTGTCATGGAAAAAAAATCAGAACATCAGGTGCCTCAGGGAGGCCGGGTCGGCAGGCGCAGGAGGGAGCCTCCGGGGTGACGACTCCATGTTCCCGTAGGGTCTGGTTACACACGTACACGCGTGTCAAAACTCACTGAATGCTACACTAAAATTCTGTGTTAGACGCTGTGTATAAGTTTACCAAAAAAAGAAATTGTAGAGGGGCACACGTGTGGCTCAGTTGGTTAAGCATCTGACTCGATTTCGGCTCAGGTCATGGTCCCACCGTCATGAGACCAAGAAGCACGTCAGGCTCTGTGCTGACAGTGCGGAGCCTACCTGGGATTCTCTCTCTGCCCCCAACCCACTCTCTCTCCTCTCACTCTCTCAAAATAAGTAAAAACTTAAAAGAAAAAAACAACCGTGGATAAACAATGAGCTCTAACTAATGACACACATGCTGAAATGTTTCCCAGTGAAGAATACTGGTATCAACAGCTTACTTTGAAATTGAGCCTGAGAATAACCCACATGGCGGGGGGGGGGGGGGGGGGCGCCTGGAGTGGCTCAGTCAGTTGGGTGCCCAACTTCAGCTCAGGTCATGATCTCGCGGTTCGTGGGTTCGAGCCCCGCGTCGGGCTCTGTGCTGACAGCTAGCTCAGAGCCTGGAGCCTGTTTCGGATTCTGTGTCTCCCTCTCTCTCTGACCCTCCCCTGCTCACGCTGTCTCTATTTCTCTCTCAAAAATAAATAAAACATTAAAAATTTTTGAAAAAAAGAAAGAATAACCCACATGGATTCACAGACAGACGAGTGATGAATGAAACTGCTGATAAAGCAAATAGAGGAAAAGTTTATTACAGAACCTAGGGTGGTGGGTATACGGATGCTCAATGTACAATTCTTTCAACTTTTCTATGTATTTTTTAGAAGTTCCTTAAGAAAATGCAGTGGGAGAGAAGTTTATAAAAGATAAAGGCCAGACCCCAGAAAAAGGGGACTTGGGCAATGACGACATTCTGAGAACTAAAGAAACAGTGCATTTGGCACAGCAAAGAAAAAGCATAAGGAAAGGAACATCTTTATGCACACTGGGAATAAATTACATTTTCTAGCAACAAAGGACAAACGGGAGTCCGAGGCACACTCAGGTCCAGTAGGGAAAACGTCAGGAGGCGGTGCTCAGGGCTGGGACGCATCGCCTTCACCCCGACGGGCTCCCTGACACTGGAGGTGACCCACAGATTAAGAGGCCACGTCACAGGAGCTACAAACAAACTCTCAAGTGGGAGGAAGACACGACCACATGAAGCTTTCCAAACTCTGTGATTCTACACTTAATTTTTTTTTTTAAATGTTTTATTTATTTCTAGGAGAGAGAGAGAGAGACAGAGTGAGCAGGGGAGAGTCAGAGAGAGAGAGTCACAGACTGAAACAGGCTTCAGGCTCTGAGCTGGCAGTCAGCACAGAACCCGACGTGGGGCTTGAACCCATGAACCGCGAGATCATGACCTGAGCGAAAGTCGGACGCTTAACCGACTAAGCCACCCAGGCGCCCCTTACACTTAATTTTTAAGTGCTGTCATCCCCATGAGGATATGTTCTCCTGCAGGGATCATACTATGGTAACGTCAGACACAACAGGATATGACGCAGGACAGAACTGGAATTCTACACGAGGTTTTACTGAGATCACAACCCTACGACAAGGAAGGACAGGCCTTCATCCAGGCATCCCAGAGACGCTCACGATCAATGGGCAAAACCCTGTGACCGCAAACCGCACACACTCCCAGAGAAGCCACAGGCTGGGGGAGCGGCCAGGAGAGGCGGCCACCAGAAAGGACACATACACCTGTGTGGGGCGTGAGCCAGGAGAACCATCCCGGTTGGGAGGGTCCTCCTGAGAGGGGAGGCAGGGACAGTGTGCTCCGTGCTCCGGGCAGGGAGCCACCGGCAAGGAGGACCACTCCCGCGCCCGGCAGGGGGGAGTCAGCACCAGAACTGAGGCCAGGGCTTCTTGGAACAACTCTTCCCAGGGTTTCTGACACTAGACTTCCTCGGTCTTCCTCACACTTTCCCAGACCCTCCTTCAGTTTCCTCAAAGCCTAAATCCTCAAGCCTTTTCATTCTACACTGGGGTCCTTTCAACGCTTCCTCTCACCCACTTGTCCTAACTACCAAATAAGGGAGATCTTCGTAAAGGAAACGGCACGCTACATTTTTTTAATCTTTTTATTTTTTTAAGTAGGCTTCCTGCCCACACAGAGCCCAACGCAAGACTTGAACTCACAACCCTAAGATCAAGAATAGAATGTCTGGGGGCCCTGGGTGGCTCAGTTGGTTGAGCATCTGACTCTTGATTTTGGCTCAGGTCATGATCCCAGGGTTGTGAGATGGAGCCTCATTTCAGGTTCCTTGCTAAGCAAGGGGCCTGCTAGGGATTCTCTCTCTCCCTCTCGCTCTCTGCCCCTCCCCGACTCGTGCTCTCTCTTTCTCAAAGTGAATAAATAAATTTAACGAAAATCAGTACTTCCTGAAATACATGTGTTCTGTCATTGGTAACATAGCCAATGAAGTAACTTTTGAACAAATGTCTCCAGCCAAGTCATTTAACTATTTTCCATGTCTCCAATATTTCTTTCTTTACCCACCAAATTAAACTGGTATTAAATCAAAGTAGTATTTTTCCTTTTTTGTTTTGTTTTTAAGAGACAGACAGTGAGCAAGCAGGGGAGAGGAGCAAAGAGACTCTTAAGCAGAGCCCGACTTGGGGCTTAATCTCACAACCCTGACATCATGACCCGACCTGAAATCAAGAATCAGATACTTAAACTGACTGGACCACCCAGGTGCCCCCAAGGTAGTATTTCTAAAATCCAAATCAGTTCCTATTGATTTCCTGCCTAAAACTCTGAGCTTTTTTTTTTTAATGATTTATTTATTTTTGAGACAGAGAGAGACAGAGCATGAGTGGGGGAGGGGTAGAGAGAGAGGGAGACACGGAATCTGAAACAGGCTCCAGGCTCCGAGCTGTCACCACAAAACCTGATGCGGGGCTTGAACCCATAAACCGTGAGATCATGACCTGAGCTGAAGTCAGACGCTTAATCAACTGAGCCACCCAGGCGCCCCTCCTTTTTAACAGATTAAAACTCAAATTCAAGGTTCTCCAGACCTGAACACTGCTCACCTTCCATACCGCTGCTCACTCGCGCTTCCACACCCAACTACTTACTAGTTCCAAGCCCAGTACTGTGGCTTCACCCATGATTTGAGAACACTCTTCTACCTGTTTGCAACTTCCATCTGTCCCCAATCACCCCAAATCTTTTTTTTTTTTTTTTAAGATTTTATTTTTAAGCAATCTCTACACCCAATCCAGGGCTTGAACTAAAAACCCTAAGATGAAGAGTCACATGCTAGGCACCTCTCACCCCAAATTTCTTATTCTTCCTTCAAAACTGAGATCAAACGTCCCATCATGTGAGTTCTTCCGCAGCCCACCCACCCTACTGCACACCATCCGCCAGGAGATTACACCCTCTGTAGCCACTAGTAACCTTACATACAGCCTATCATGGCACCTATCATTCTGTATTATAACTTCTTCCGTTTGTATCACCTCCTGAGCTCAGGTCCTGCAGGGCATACAGGCCACTCCTTATTCATGGTGGCATCCCAGGAACTATCTCTGCCAGACACTGGACTCAGTGTGAGACTGTGGGATGTATAAATGAATGACTGATAGGCTTCCAAATACATATGTAAATTTAAAGTGTTACAGAAATAAATGTGTAGAGTAAGGTTAAATGTCTCAACCTGAATGGGCTGTAAACATCACTCTCAAAAATCTACAAAGTAAACAAAAGTAGATGTGGAGCAAGCAAAAGCAGGTTCACAGAAAGCACAGACTCACTGGTGATCCTCACTGCCCGGTCGGTGCGGAAATCCTCTGTGTCTGGCTCATCAAGGTCTTCCAGGAAGTTGTACTCTGGATCGTCGTCATCATCGGCCTCATCTAGGAAAAAAAAAATGCCACACACTCAGTCCCCACTCTGAACTCCCATCTCTAGTGAAAATTTAAGATTTTCAGCACTGTAAGAATCTACTCCAGTAAAGCACATTTATTCTTAAGTTTTTAAATAACTTTTTCTTCTCCCCCCATGGTCACACAGCTCGTTTCCCATAGCTGACACATCTCACCTACTCTAAAAAGCCAAATTCTTTCCTTCCTTTAAAAAAGACTTAAATCTGCCAAACTGCAGCAAAAGCCAGAAAGCTGAACATATAATTTATCTCGTGACCATACTTTGAGTAAGTAGTGCACCTCATGAAAAGAACACTTTTGTAAAACCACTTTTATAAAAGCACAGAGGGGCGTCTGGGTGGCTCAGTCAGTTAAGTGTCCAATTTCGGCTTAGGTCATAATCTCGCTGTTCAAGAGTTCAAGCCCCACGTAGGGCAGCAAGCTGACAGTGTGGAGCCCACTTAGGATTCTCTCCTACCCCTCCTCCACTTGCACTCTCTCTCAAAAATAAATAAACTTCAAAAAAATAACAACAGGGGCACCTGGATGGCTCAGTCGGTTAAGCATCTGACTTCAGCTCAGGTCATGATCTCGCAGTCTGTGAATTTGAGCCCTGCGTTGGGGTCTGCGCTGATAACTCAGAGCCTGGAGCCTGCTTCAGATGCTGTGTCTCCCTCTCTCTCTCTGCCCCTCCCCAGCTTGTGCGCTCTCACGCATGCTCTTTCTCTCTCAAAAATAAGTAAATAATGGGGTGCCTGGGTGGCTCAGTCAGTTAGACATCTAACTTCGGCTCAGGTCATGATCTCACAGTCCGTGGGTTCGAACCCCGCGTCGGACTCTGTGCTGACAGCTCAGAGCCTGGGGCCTGTTTCAGATTTTGTGTCTCCTTTGCTCTCCCCTTCCCTACTCACACTCTGTCTCTCAAAAATGAGTAAACATTTAAAAAAAAAATTAAAAATTTTTTGAGAGAGAGAGACCGCGTGAGCAGAGGAGGGTCAGAGAGAGAGGGAGACACAGAATCTGAAGCAGGCTCCAGGCTCTGAGCTGTCAGCACAGAGCCCGACACGGGGCTCGAACTTACAACCCGTGAGATCATGACCTGAGCCGAAGTCGAACGCTTAACTGATTGAGCTACCCAGGCACACCTTTTGTTATTTTTATTTTTAAGTAAGTAAACATTAAAAAATAATAAGTTTAAAAAATAAATAGGGGCACCTGGGTGACTCAGTCAAGTGTCTGATTTCAGCTCATGTCATAATCTTACGATCTGTGAGTCTGAGCCCCACATCGGGCTCTGTGCTGACAGCTCAGAGCCTGGAGCCTGTCTTTGGATTCTGTCTCCCTCTCTCTCTGTCCCTCCTCTGCTCACGCTGTCTCTGTCTCGGTCTCTGTGTCTCTCTCTCTCAAAAATAAATAAATGAATAAATAAACAAATAAATGGACAATAAAAGAAAGAGAACTAAAAATATACAAAAATAGCACACGTTTTGTTATGTTCAGGCACAGGAGAAATCCTGGTGTTTCTTTACGACATAAGTTTCTCCAGTGCCGAGCCATGATCTCTGAATAAAACTCGTGAAGCAGTCACTGGATTACAGAATTGTTACACGAAGGTGGTATTTTTTCCAGGACGTTAGATGAGTGCCGTCTGGCAGAACATTCTGCGATGATGGAAATGTCCTACGCACACACGGCGCAGTAACAGCAGCTTCCGGCAACAGGCGGTGCCTGAAAACTTGAAAAGCGGCTGATGCCACCAAGCAGCTGAATTAAAAAGACAGAAAACCAAGAAGTCCGCCAACGGAGGACAGCCCAGTTCCTTCCCACTGTGCAGCCACTGGCCGCGAGGGCTGAACGTGCGTATGTCGCAGCAGGAAACGTCACGGCTGAGTGGCTCCGTGCAGGGAGCAGGTTACAGGGGCAGAAGGACCCAGGCCCTGCCGCGGGGAAACCATCCAGGTCCGGATGTGCTGAGCGCACACAGGAAGTAAGTGACGGACAGAACTTACTTTCTCACTTTGCACCCCTCCACAGTATTTTCCCTTTCTGTAAAAAATGAGTACCTTCCATTAGAAATGAAAAAATATACACACATTTTTGATTCATTATTATTGGAAAATCTGTTCTGATTAACCCCAATCGAAGCTGATATTTTTGACTCAACGTTTATAGTCAAGTTATAATATATTAATTTCCACTGTCCACGAAGTAGCTATTTAAATGTCAAGTCTTTTCATCCATTTGTGCATTCATGTCCCCAATAAAAACTCTTCAAATCCTCACGCAGGGACTCCTGTCTTCCCGAGCTCTAGGGACTCTTTGTGAACACCTCCTGATAAACACACCGAGTGAGGGATGCCCTGTGGGAAGGGCCAGGACAGGCAGACAGCGCGGGCGGGTTCGAGCCCCACCTTTGGATGGGAGGCCGGCACCAGACACGCCGCACCGACGGGCCAGCAGAGACTCTCCGAGCACCCGTTTGGCAAACACGTTGAAAAGTCTTTCACGAAGGTTTCTTCTGAGCTCTCAGCTCTCAGTTCCCTGGCTGTGGCCTAGGCCCTCACTCTCCAGCTGATGCACAATATCGGCATCCACCCAGCTGACCTCAGTCTGTTCTCCGCCTCCAGTGCTGTCTCTCAATTATTTTTGGCAAACAAGGCTCTCAATTTTAATAATATGCAGATCAGATGGTACCAGGAACATGTAAAAACAGCCACGTAATGCTACAAAAACAGACCAGCATATGGCTAAAGACAGGGACTGGGATCTGCATCTGCATCATTTCCAATTTGTCCGCACTCAGTTATTCAGCTCGTAGATGGGGGGGGGGGGTGTCCACACCTTCCCTACTCACTGGCTCTGTGTTCTCTTTTTTAATCCATCCTAATACATAAACAACAACACAAAAAATACTGAGTTTTAACAAAAGAGGATCTCCACCCTCCCTACTAACCGTTACTCCATTTTCTCAATGAACCCTCACCATACACGCTCACTTCTCCCAGATCAGCAGTCTCCAGTCTTTAGGATGAGTGAGAATTAGATCCCTAGGCCACACTCGTTAAGAGATTCTGATTCAGTCAGTAAGAGGGGAGGCCCTGGAATCTGTATCTTTAATTAACACAACCCAGCACGCACACCTTTCTGGTTCTAGGGATGATGCCATGAGCAGCACGACCTTGGATCCCAAACTCCTGACACCTGAGACTCTGGCCTTTCCTCCTCAACAGCCACCAGCCAAGGTGACAGAAACCAGGGAGAATCAGGGCACCAAAGCTGCCACCACGGAGAATGCCACGAGGACCTGCTACCGTCATATTGGGCCTTAGCTCCAGCCTGGGGACTGAGCAGCAGGCTTCCCGAGGCAGAGTCCCATCCACCGAACACTCCAACCCTGACACCTCCTTCACTGGGACACAGGCCTTGAACACGGAGCTGGGTTCGAACCTTAAGCAGGTGTAACACTGAGCAACGCAATGAAATTCTGAGATATCTGTGAAACGGAAAGGACCACACTTGTCCCGGGCATGGCTTTCTGCGGAGATTCTGAGCCTGGGTGTCATGGAACTTGGGGTGGGTTGGTAGGAAAATAAATAAATGAACACCAAGAGATTTACAAATCCCGAAGTAATATTCAATGAAAAAAATCTGTGATCCTTCTGGATCATGAAACTGTCATTGTGGGGAGGGGCTTTCAGAGTTTTGTTGTTCTTGTTGTTTATTTCTTTGAGTGAGGGAAGGGCAGAGAGAGGGAGGGGGGCGGGGAGAGAGAGAGATTTCCAAGCAGGCTCTACACTGACGGACTGAGCCACCCAAGCACTTCTCATAGTTATCTTCATACTATTGATTTCTGTCCACAAGGCATGCACTGTCACAGCAGAGAGCAGAAGACTCCTAGGAGGACATGCCCCACAAGACCCTAGTCCACAAGGTCACCCGTCCCCTCACTCACCCGCCCCCCTCCTCACAGGCACTGCTGCCAAACATCCTTCAAAGTCCGTCTCAATTACCACCTCCTTCACAGGGCACTCTGACCATCCTGAACAAGAATTCTCTGTCCCTCTTCTAGAATCAGCGTTTATGCCACTTTGATGGCGTAAGTGAGTTCCTTCAACTTCATTCACCTGGAGCGAGTGGACCAGGCAGCATTCAATACATGGCTCAATCTGACAAAACGATCATGCTCCTTTCCCTTTCAGGATCCGAGCACAGTGCCTCATAGAAGGAAAGTAGTCCAAAACATTTGCCAAATAATGTATAATATAATTATTACAGCTTCCTAACATATATTCAAGGAGGGGCGAGTGGGTGGCTCAGTCAGTTAAGCGCCCAACTCTTCGTTTTGGCTCAGGTCACATCTCAGGGTCGAGACATGGAGCCCCGTGTCAGGCTCTGAGCTGGGCGTGGAGCCTGCTTGGGGTTCTCTCTCCCCGTCTCCCTCTGCCCCTCTCCCTAGCTCTCAAGCACGCACCCTTGCTCGCTCTCTCTCTCAAAAAAATAAGTAAGGTATATTCAAGGACTCTTTTTCATTCACTTATCCTGACTTATTTCTAGCCTCACTACGAAAATATTTACTCAGTCTATGTCCGTCAAAGCCATTCATTGTTTACCTTGAACGATTACTCTTTTCAACACATAAGTCTTACAATAGTCGTTCTCAGAAGACAGGGAAAAGAACAAAAGGTGGGCTCTGCAGGTTGTCTGTAAGTAGATTTTTTTTTTAAGTGTGAGTCTGCCACAAGACAACCAATAAGAATGTTCTGGTCAAAAAAAAAAGAATGTTCTGGTCACTCTCCACTAAAAAGTCAGAAAGAAACCCTAACAAATTTGCCCGATTCCATCAAAAGCATGTGACGTCATCCGGAATCCCTGTAGACTAAGACCACCTCTTACACCATCTAGAGCTCAAGAAGCTTACTGCACAAACTCAGGAACGATACCCAATTAATTTCCACTGTAGTACACATAGAAAATCACCAAAGACAACTTTCATAACGTTGATTTCACTAGATTAAAGTAGCAAATTCCTGGGGCACCTGGAGGCTCAGTCAGTTAAGCATCCGACTTTGGCTCAAGTCATGATCTCACGGTTCATGGGTTTGAGCCCCACGTGGGGCTCTGTGCTGACAGCTCAGAGCCTGGAGCTGCTTCAGATTCTGTGTCTCCCTCTCTCTCTGATCCTCCCCTGCTTACGCTGTCTCTCTCTCTCTCTCTCTTTCAGAAATAAAACATTAAAAAATTTTTTAAATAAATAAAGTAGCAAATTCCCATAATATTCTAGAAGAGCGAAGGTTGCGGTAGGGGTTCTCACACCATGACCGCACGTGGTCAACACTGTTTCTGTCTGAGCGCTGCTCCGTCCCCACCTCTGGAAACAGCATCACATCTGGAACTGCCTGCCCCCCCTCACCACTGCTGATGCCGCTGACGCCACGCGGCACCAGGAGAGCGGGCCCGTGACCGGAGCTCGCTCTGAGCTGAGCCGGCGCATCTTCCAGATGGGGGCCTGCAGGAGGAGCCCCTCTGGTGTGGAGACAAAGCAGGAAGTGAATGGTGAGCTGAGGACCACAGTGCCCGCCTTGCACGTAAACAGGCCTGGGCACAGGACTCACCCACGAAAAGAAGTCGAGACACTGGCTCCAGAGATGGAAGGAGCCACTCAGGGCCTCGAAACCACTGCCGGTTCCCCTGCCCTCCCCAAGTCCAGTTTCATTCGACGTACACACAGCACAGTGGCGGCTGGCACTGCCACGGGCGTCACACAGGCCCCCGACTGACACAGCAGTCCTCGAGCTGGGCAGTGCACCCTCGGGCAGGCACATATAAAATTATTTCTGCATTTATGTTTCAGGGGACACCTCTTAGCTTTCCAGTGGTTCTCAAAAGGCCTCCGAACCAGTACCCCGTAAGGAACACAGAGCCCTACGCGGACGGACAGGCCGCACGCGCGCCAAGCACAGCACAACACAGTAGCGTGTCAGATCGCCACGCTGTGCACCTGCAACCAATGCAGCCAGTATGTCAACTTTGCTCAAAAGGAAAGATTCTCCCAAAAAGAGAAGGGAACTTCAGCACTGATATAAAGTAAATTGCGAGTTCATGGGGCGCCTGGGGGGCTCAGTCGGTTAAGCGTCCAACTTGGGCTCAGGTCATGATCTCACAGTTCGTGGGTTCAAAGCCCCGTGTTCAAGCCTGCTGACAGCTCAGAGCCTGGAGCCTGCTTCAGATTATGTGTCTGGCTCTCCCCTGCTCACCCTCTGTCTCTCTCTGTCTCACTCTCAAAAATAAAGATTTTTTTTTTTAATTTTAAATAAAGTTAAGTTGTGAGTTCAATAAAATACTTAAGTTCAGCTCCGACTCACGGAGCTCCGACTCACGGAGCTCCGACCAGAGTGGGGAGCGCACACACACACACGGCCACTCACCCTCGTTCCCCACGTCGTCGTTCATGAGCCCGCCCAGCCACACCTTCCAGTCCTCGTCGTCGGCGGTGTTGGGGTCATACATGTCCGGCGTGATGTCGGGAGCCCGGAGCTCCGCCTCCAGCTGCCCTAGGGGCACATCTTTGAGAGGCATCTTAGAGCGGGTCCGGAATGCAATGAGGCTGTCGTCCATGGGCTTGGCAACAAAGAAGGGTGAACACGTGTCACTCAATGCCTAGAGCTCCCAAATTCTCCAACCTCCTCGCACCTCCGGCTACCCCTGCACTTCCCTTCTTGGCTTCATTCACAAGCTCTCCTCTCCCAAAAAGCTGGGTTTCTTATTCTTTGAGAAACGGTAAGGACAATGACATCAGTTCTTTTTTTTGTTTTTTGGTTTTTTTTTTAATGACATCAGTTTTAAAACCCACATTTTAGGGACACCTGGGGGGCTCAGTTGGGTTGAACGTCCATCCAACTGCTGACATCGGCTCAGGGGATGATCTTATGGTTCCTGAGTTCGAGCCCAGCATCGGGCTCTGTGCTGACAGTGCAGAGCCTGCTTGGGATTCTCTGTCTCTCCCTCTCTCTGCCTCTCCCCCACTCACACTCTCAAAATAAATAAACATAATATAATAAAATAAAGTCAACATTTCAGTAACATCTGTAACAGCTTTACTGAGATATAATTTCCATACCATAAAATTCATCCTTCTGACGTGTATAACTGAGTGGGCTTCACTGTATTCATAGAGCTGTGGGACCATCACCAGTATCTAATTCCGGAATATTTTCTTCACCCCTAACGGAAATCCCAATCCAATTAGCAGTCACTCTCCCTTTTCCCCTCTCCTGGTCCCTGATGCCCGTAACCTATGTTCTGCGTCTACACTGGCGCGTGCGGGACGCAGCATATAAACAGAATCATACAGCATGTGCGCTTCTGCCTCAGGCTTCCTTTACTCAGCATGATATTTCCAAAGTTCATCTGTTCTGTAGCCAGTGATAACTGTTCAAAGTCCGCACATCATTCCTCTTCATCGCATGCTAATGTCCCGCTTACACTTTGGTGTATCCACACCTCAGGAAATGAAAATCTGCTGTTTCCACTTCGGAAAGGTTATTACGAGTAACACCACAATGAACGTTTGCGTACTCATTTTTTACTTGGAGATATGTTTTCAATTCTCCTGGAGTGGACTTTCTGGGCCATAGAGTAACGATGTTTAATTTTTGGAGGAAACACCAAACCATTTCCCAAAGCAGCCGCGCCATTTCACGCTCCCGCCGGCACCGTGTGCGGGCCCTCCACCCCTCCACGTCCCTGCCAACACCTGCTCCTGTCTGTGCTGCTCCCCCCAGCCGTTCTGGTGGCTGTGAGGTGCTGTCCCATGCTTCGCATTTGCATTTTCCTAATGACTAATGATGTGGAGCATCTTTTCACGTGCTGATTGGCCACCTGTAGGTCTTCTTGCAGAAGTATATCTATTCTTATCCTTTGCCCATTTTTGGCTATTCTGTGTCCCTTGCATTTCCACGTGAATTTCAGGATAAGCTTATCAATTTCTTCCAAAAAAAGGAAAAGCAGCTGGGCTTTGGACAGGGGTGGTGCTGGAGCCAGAGGTTAGTTCAGGAAGCTCTCTCTGGATGCCTGCAGCTATCTGCTAAGTCTTCTGTCTCCTCCCCTGCTCTCCCACCTTAACCATTTCCCACACCTTAACCAAAGTGGAGTTTTTAATTGTTTTTAATGTTTATTGATTTTGCATGTGTGCATGGGTGTACTGGGGTGGGGGGGGGAGGAGGGGCAGAGATGGAGAAACAGAGACTCCCAAGCAGGCTACGCACTGTCAGTGCAGAGCCTGACGAGAGGCTCGATCTCATGAACCATGAGATCATGAGCTGAGCCAAAATCAAGATTAGACACGCAACCAACAGCCGCCCAACATACGCCTGATGAACAGCTCCTTCTAATTCAGATCTGGGCTCAAAGTCAACAATCCTGAGATCAAGAATCACATGCTCCACTGAGTGAGGCCTTTTCTGATCATCCTATGTGAAGTATCTGATGGGCATTACCTTACTTCTCTTTTATTTAGTTCTGATTTGAAAAGATTTGTTTATGGTGTCTCTCTCCAATAGACTATAACCTCCAAGAGGAAAGACTTTTTCTGTCTTACGCTGCTATTCCCCAACTTCCGTCTTCCAGCAAGTATACGAATGTAAAACACTACCACCCTCTGAACACTATGCACTTGGCGACAAAGCACTATGATTAAATTAAATAAGCCTTTCAGAGGCATTCCATTCAATATTCTGTTTTTAAATTTTAGAATGGACATATTTCTCATTAACCTACAAGACTGATGGAGGAAACCTAGAGCATTAAAACAAACTGGCTGTATGGTGGAATTTGAAAAGTCCTCAACTGACACTGACCATAGCAATGACTGTTTAAAGCAAGTATAAACAATGGATGCTTAGTGGGCAAAAAGATGTTTGGCCTCAAATTATATCCCATAAGATACATATTAATTTAACGATGGAAAAATAGGAACATTATCAGGAAGAAATCAAGCAGACATCACCGTGACCATGTGACCACACTTCACACAGCGGATGTCACATGCCTCCAGACAGGATGCACTAGAATGGACATAATTGCTTCTGTGCGGCCTGTGCCAAAAATGCATAACCTGAATCTAATTATGATGAAATATCAGAAAAATCGAAATTGAGAAATATTCTGTAAATAATAGTCTACACAAATAAAAAATGTCAAGGTTATAAAAAACAAATAAATGCTAAGAAGCTGTTCTAGACGAAAGGAGGCAAAAAGGGGCACCCTGGCTGGTTCAGTCAAAGGAGCAAGTGACTCTTGATCTCCAGGTCGGGAGTTTGCGCTCCATACTAAGCACAGAGATTAGTTTAAAATAGAATAAAATAAAAATAAAATAGAATAAGATAAGATAAAGTAAGGTAAGGTAAAACAAACAAAACAAAATAACAGACTATGAGATAAGACACCATGTGTAATCCTGGACTGGGTCCTACATCACAAGAACTTGTATCTTTTGCTGGAAAGGACACTATTGGGACAACTGGTAAAGTCTAAAAAAAGACTTCACTAGATTAGATAATATTACTTCTTGTCATAATGGAATGTCCTATTTTTTTTTTTTTTTTAATTATTTCTAGGAGAGAGAGAGAGAGAGACAGTGTAAGCAGGGGAGGGTCAGAGAGAGAGGGAGTCACAGACTGAAACAGGCTCCAGGCTCTGAGCTGGCAGTCAGCACAGAGCCCGACGCGGGGCTTGAACCCACGAACCGCGAGATCATGACCTAAGCGAAAGTTGGACGCTTAACCGACTAAGCCACCCAGGCACCCCGTAATGTCCTATTTTTTTTACTTTTTTTTTTTATGTTTTATTTATTTCTGAGAGAGAAAGAGACACAGCGTGAACAGGGGAGGGTCAGAGAAAGAGGGAGATACAGAATCTGAAGCAGGCTCCAGGCTCTGAGCTAGCTGTCAGCACAGAATCCCATGCAGGGCTCGAACCCACACATGAGATCATGACCTGAGCCAAAGTCAGACACCCAACCGACTGAGCCACCCAGGTGCCCCTGGAATGTCCTATTTTAGAGAATACATACGCAAGTGTTTGGGGGGTAAAAGAGCATCGTGACTACAACATTAAGTGACAGGAAAGCAAGTGTGCAGACAGAAAGAGAAAGTGGCACAAGCTACAGCGCAGCCACGGTGAAGGTCAGGACGTGGGGACTCGGCTAAAGGGAACGTGCCCTGTGTTCCAGTTTGAAAAGTTCTCCATCACGTACCTACTACTTCCCCAGGGGCTGTGATTCTCCCAGTAAAGCAGCCTGAACCAAACAGAGGATCAAAGACCTGCAATTTCGTTGACTTCCTTGTTTACCAGAATTGCCTGTTCTCTCCTCTCCCTTCCCAACCGGAGCAGCCGCTACATGACCCCATCAACGTCACCAGTGACAGACGTACACTGCTCACCTGGAAAGAGTCCATGCACACCGGACTGGAAGCCAGCTCCTCATCCACGGCGTGCAGCTTCTCCATGAAAGTGCTATCCTTGCTCTGCTTGGGCTTTGGGGGAGGCGGGGGCCCCATGGGCACGACCTCGGCGCTGATGTGCCTGACGGCAGGTGTGGGGACTTTCTCAGCCTGATTGCAAGAGGAAACCATGTTAAAAAGTGAAAGGGAAGGAGGAAGGAGAAAGAGAGGGAAGGAGAAAAGAGAAACAGAAGAAGCAGGGAGAGAAGGGTACATCTTTCATATGCCAGCGATCCTTCTCTTCCTGTGTAGACAGAGTTATGTAAAAACAAACACGCTGTCAATTATATTAATCTAATTAGGCTCTATCTTATCTCCAGTGAAGCCAACGGGATGCTACCTAAATGATCGAAAGTAGAAAATCTAACAAAATGGCTTTAGGACAACATTAGGAAAAAGACAAAGGTGGGAGAAAAGAAACCGCAGTCACCCGCATCTGGATGCTCAGAGGACTCAGAAAAGCATTCTCCCTATCGCTGAGTTTGTTTTCCTCTCAACTGCCGGCCGACTTAAATAAGGACTCTGAAATCGGAACTGTCTGATGAGTCACAGGCACCGGGAAGGCAACAGCAGCATCAGCGGTCCCGAATCTCGTGTGCTCACGGGGGCCGGCTCAGCACCCCACACAGCCACCCTCCGCGCGGTCACATCCCCCTCGCCGCTCTCGCCCGGACCGACTCACCTCCGGCAACACGCCGCCCTCCTCGTCTGTTTCAGTCACCTCCGAGGGCTGCCTCAGTCTGGACTTCTTCGCCCCACGTGGGGACGAAGCGGTGCTTTCGACATCACTTTCCAATAAACTCTACAAAACAAACCCAGCTCACGTTCACGTTCCCGCCCCTGCCGCACTCCACGGCGTCTGAAGGATCTCAAGAAAATGAATCCATTAAAAAAAGAAGAAAGAAAGAAAATGAATCCATTTAATCAGAGTAAAAGAAAATAAAACTCAAACAGAAGTTTAATATTCGGAAGGTGATCAGATTGGTATCATCAGAATTATAAGACGCTGGTTTAAAATCCTGTTACAAACAAGTCAAACAATCACTAAGAAACAATATTACACAGCAAAGAAAACGAACAAACCGGAGCTGTCAGCAATGGTACAGAAGAATCACGAAGGGTTAATGATGAAACAAAAGGACAGACAAAAAGCCGGACGCTGGGGAGTGCAAACCCGGTCCGTCACGTGGGCTCGGAAGCAGCGCGCGCAGCACTGCCCACCTGGCAGCGGAGCTACAGGGAAAGAGCAAGCGGTGCGTGGAGGCCACGTGCGGGGACACTGGACAGCGTCTGGGGAGCACTGGCTTTATCACTGTTTAAGCCGAACGTGAAAACGCTTATTCTGTGCACAGTTCTAGACGTTAGATGTGTTGTGCTACTTCACAATACAAGACATGAAAAGGGAGTAGGAAGAGGAGGAAACACCTCACAGTCTGGGATTTATGCAACGAAATGAGCAGAAAAAAGAAGTGTGCCTCGGTCCTCAGAACAGATGACAGCACTAGGAGGCCTTGCGGGGCCTCGTTTCTTGTCCATTAGCAGCTAACACTCACGGGAGCCACTGACCTCTTCAGCCGTCTCATCTTCTTCTTCATCATCTGGCTGGTACTCCTCATCTGAGGAGTCGTCTTCTTCCAGGTGGATATCCACAAACTGAGGGGGCTACATAAGCACAAGTATAGAAAGAAATGAAGTTACAGGAAACACAAATCATACGTATTTGGAAAGTAAGAGGAAGAAAGCAGAGCAGGAGAGACAGTAATCCTAACAGCATAATGAGCAGCTGCAGCAAGTTAACAAGAGACAGGGTAGAGAGGTTCCTAGCATGAGAGTCAAACCTAAGAGGAATGGAAAGGAAAAAAAACAAAGATCCAATTAAAACGAAGATAGATTCCCCCCTCCCCCAATCCCAAATTAAACAGAAAGGAAGTACTTAGGTTTCAAAACTGATAAAGTCTTTCTAGAAAAAAGAATTACCTCTTCCAAGTTTACCTTAATTTCATTGGCCTTCTTAATTGGTGAAATATTCCATGTTGGAATTACCTACCAACAAAGAATATAAATAATTACATTCTCTTAACCGAAATAGACGGTTTTTCATTTTTACCTTCTCTTCACCGTCACAAAGAGCCGCCCACATACCTAACATGCAGGTGCAGTGATCAGGGAATATGAATTCTCTTTAAGGGTACGCGCTCAATTATTTGTCGAAACTTGTCAGAAGAAAAGGAGAGAACAATCTACTTCAATCTAGCAGTTCTTCCTCAAACTTAGTAAGACTCTCTATTATTAACTATAAATGGAAAAAGCATCTGCCTTGCCTACTTTATTTACTTATATATTTTAAGTAAACTCTACCCCCCACTGTGGGGCTTAAACTCACGATCCTGAGATTAAGGTTCACATGCTCTTCCAGCTGAGCAAGCCAGGTGCCCCTGTCTTGCCTACTTTATATCACAGCTTGGGGTGACGTGGAATAATGAATTTGAAAACTATGTGTGGGGCGTGTGGATGGCTGAGTCGATTGAGTGTCTGACTTCAGCTCAGGTCATGATCGCACAGCTCATGAGTTCAAGCCCTGCAATGAGCTCTGTGCTGACAGCTCAGAGCCCGGAGCCTGCTTCAGGTTCTATGTCTCCCTCTCTCTCTGCCCCTCCCCAACTCATTCTCCCTCCCTCCCAAAAATAAACATTTTTTAAAAACTACTTATAAACTATAATAATACACATACCTAAGATACTATAGGTGATAGCCTTTTTGACATCAGATTTTTCTAATCAATTACATAATCCAACGTAAGTATGCCTCCCAAGAGCCAGCCTCCCATGCCGGACGCTGCCTCCCATGACCAGTTCTTTAGGAAGGATTTAGGGGTAAAGTATCAAGTTGTCTTCAACTTATTTTCAAATAGTACAGGAAAAAAAACAAGAGATAGACATAAAGATATAAAGGAATACAGCAAAATTTTACAGTTGTTAAATCTAGATGAACTCTAGATTCACTATAAAATTATTTTAATTTCTTGTATGTTTTAAAATAACAGAGTTGGGGTGAAATGTTTTTAAAGAATTTTTTTAAGCCTTTTACATGCTGTTGACAAAAAACGTCCCTGGCGCAATTTCTTGACCACTTAAGGTGACCCAGTGAAAACCGGGTTATGAGCGCAATTCATGGAGCCTCAGCCTCTCCATGCCTCCTCCTGCGTGTCCCAGCCCCTTCCCTTGCTCTGTTGAACTAGGCCCAGTATAGGGTACAGGGGATGATGTGGTTCAGGTCCTCAGCCCTTCCCACATGTTTCTAAACCAATCCGGTTCCCTACTGCCAAATCCATCCGAGAGGCGGGGCAAGGCAGACTCGCCAGGTGTGCTCGAGTCCGCCTGCCGAGCATTAAGAAGCAGGAGACTTGGACTTCAATCCCTGCTCTCCCACATACACTAGTGTCTTGGGCTGTCTGACTTCTCTGTTCTTATTCACGGTTAGTAAATACAACCCAGAGCCCACTTTGGATCTGTTTCCAAATCAAATACGGAATTAATTTCAATTATACTCTGTACGTCAGGCCGACTTCACAGAACTCCCGCCTCACTGACAGCTGCTTTCATCATAGCTACCACATGCTCATTTGTGATTACTTCCCAGAGAAAGATGAAATTTCACTAAAGACAACTGGGGTTAGCTGATTACACAAAACAATACAATGGCTGTCAAAAACAAGCCAATGCAATCCCTGGCTGCATTAAGAGCAATATGGCCCGTGGAACCTGGAGGGGATAACCTAACTTTACTCCATATTAGTTAACGTCTGCAGCAGGACACTCCACTTGAGGCACACTTTTAAAAGGACATGGACAAAGTAGGCACATGCAGAAGGATCAGATTCGTGTATATACCCAAAGCCTCCTCACACGAAGACCAATAAAAAACTGGGAGACATTTATCAAGAAAAGAATATTACAAAAAGACGTACTAGTTTTCTTCTACTAGAGGAAAGGTCATGTGGACTTATTTCTTCTATTCAGCTGCAAAGAACAGAACCGGAAAAAGACAGTAACTCCAACACACCACAGGTCCACAAGGCCAACCTTCCCTACGACCGGAGAGAAAGTGGCCGCCTTGGGAGTACCGCTTGCCTATCACAGACGCCAGGCACAAACTGGACATGTGCTTGCTGAGCAGGATTTAAAGGGGTCCCAGCATCTGCACCAGAATACTCCAGAAGTCTTCAAGTGGCTCTCATCTCTCCGTGTGCAAAACAGCTAGCTGCTGGTTCCAACAATGCATATTCCCAGGCCTTACTTCCAGCTCCCTGCTCCGGGTCTGAGGCGAGCCAAAGAACACGCACTTCCCGTGAGTAGTCCTGAGGGACCCCACACCAGGGCCACCTTGATGCAAGTCCTCCCTGGAACATACTTTAAAAAATACTACTCTAAACGCTTCGCCATATATGACACAAATAGGATAACTGACCCTGCTCGGTGCTTTCAACCGTCCTAAATGGTTAGCTACCCAGTACCGGCTAAAAAGCAAGACATCTACACCAACTGAGATGAACGATAATGATTCTGTGCATTGTCTCTGCTCATCTTTCACAGGTATTTCAGGACGCAAACCCAGGCCATAATATCTCCTTCCTATATTTTTTCCCCTGCAAATAATCTGTACTTAGATTTTATTTACCAAACTAAATGAAGAAAAAACACAGAACACCCACCACTCCTTTTTCCACCACTTCCTTCAGTTTAGAGCGTGTCATTTTGGGCTCCTGAGGCAGGGAAAATGAAAAGAAAACAGTCAATAAAAACCATCATGTGTACCTGAGGTTTTGAGACGCTACCTCTGCCCCCAACCATCAAGCTATTTACACACTCCCAAGTAACATCCTGCGTGCAGCCCCGTTACGTAGCTCTGTTCCCTGACATTGAAGGGTAACAATCGACTACTCACAAACATGGGCATATCTTCTGTCTCACTGATGGCCGCTTTCATCATAGCTACCACATGCTCATTTGTGATTACTTCCTGGAGAAAGATGAAATTTCACTTTATGCAACAAAGATGCATAATGTAGACAATACTCAGTCCTCCATAACCCTGCTAGAGTGGATACATGTCCACTCCATGTTCCCCATGGAGTGGACAGACAAGAGCTAGAAAGTGAAATGGCTTCAGACTACGGTAAAGCCAGCTCTGGGCAGAAGCACACAGCTCAATCTGTAATACAGCAGCAAGTGGACAGACCCCATTGGCAGCTCCCAGGAGCAGGAATGAGATTCCGAGGTAACGGGCTATATGCTTCAGAGAAACAGTAATGAGCAACAAAGGTTTTGTAAACGGCTGTGTTGATACGTATCAAAGAACCGTATCGGTAAATGTGCAGCGTCGATTGTTAACCTGGCCTCTTCTCAGACCTGGCAGCCCACCAATGGTCCGCTGGGAACATTATCATCTCCGAATCTGCTCAACAGGAGGACAAACCAGCCAGTCAGTGGAGGAAGCAGAGGAACAATTTAGCTTCCCAGTTAAGTTCTTTCTTCACGTGTGTGCAGAGTCCCGGCGTGTGCCGCGTGCAACGAGAAAGCACGGTGGAGGGAAAGGGGTGCTGGCACGGGCACCTCCCAGCACCAACAACCCACACCGGCCCCGAGAGCTGCCGAGCGCCTCCGAGCGCCCCCACTCACATGCAGGATGTTGCGCACGTTGACGGCGGTCAGGTTGTGCTGCTTGGCGCCGTCCTCCAGCGTGCGGTCCAGCACGTCGTCCAGCTTCAGGTCGCAAGCCCAGGTGCCTTCTTCCTGACCCCTTCCATCTCGTTTCCTCTTGGTCCCCTTTTTCCTTTTTCGCCTTTTCTCGCTTTCTTCACTGTCTTGCTCTTCTGCAAATAAACCAAGAACAGCATCAGAATCCCCAGAACAACCGCTCCAGAACTTAACCGGAAAAGCCAATCATAAATGAAAAGCAAGCCTCCAGCTCGCGGGGCTGGGAAATCAAAGACGCCTCCGGTACGGCAACAGCGACGGAGTACGTAACACTGGCATCCGCTCACCATCTGTCGTGCGTCCTGCCACACACTGTGTCTTTATTTAGTCCTCCTAACAACCCTGGGAGCCAAGAACTATTACCTCTCCCGTTGTGCAGACAAAGAGACTGAGACAGAGTAAGAAACTTTGCCAAGAGCTAGTAATGACAGAGCCATGCTCTGAAGCCACGTTCTCGAGCCCTGGAGCCCAGTCTTCCCTACTGCTCTGCACCGCCCAGATCGTACGCCAGGCACCGCGGCCCTGTGCCCAATTCTGGGCGACCTCGGCCAGTCTCGTTTTCTTTCCTTTGCAAATGTAGATACCTGCCTCTCAGGGGTACCACCCAGATTAAGTGAACATATATCAGAGTGCTTTATAACCACTGGAATGTTATATGGTGTAATTTATCATTATTATACTCCATCTAGGAAAAAAACAAGGGGCAAACAATAAAAAATTCACTCTAAGCTGGACAAGAGGGGGAGGCCTCACAGTTCTCTCCATTCTACAAGGGAGCATATGTACAACCAAATGGGAAAATCTTCTTGATTATTAGAATCTGTTAAGTCTTGAAATAGATGATCACAAAATACCAAACTGAGGTTCTCGTCTGTCCAATGCTCTCGCCCTGCTGCCCTCTGAGAACACAGATTAGAGGATTAACATGAAGACGACCTTCTCTGTTTTAAGATTTTGTGACCTTCAAGCCATACCCTGGCAATATTTACACAGCGAAAAATTATCAGTGACTTCAAACAACTGTTCTGCACTTGTGGACACACACCAAGCATCTGATAAATGTGTATGACTCCCAATCCAGTAATTCTTATTCTTAAGGAAACAACAGATCTGCACAGACTAATCATCACGTTGTTCATTTTGACGGTATAAAGTTCATTTATTTATTTTGAAAGTGAGAGACAGAGTGCACACACAGGGAAGGGGCGGAGAGGGAGACGGAGAGAGAGAATCCCAAGCAGGCTTCATGCTGCCAGCGCAGAGCCAGATAAGGCTAGAACGAGAAACTTCAAAATCATGACCCAAGGCAAAATCAAGAGACACCCAACCAACTGAGCCACCCACGTGTCCCAACAATCATTTTAGCAAAAAGATGGGAAAAACTAAACACCCAGTGTTACAGAGACAGCGGTACCTCCATACACTGGACTGTGACTAAACCATTAAAAACTGTCTTTTTTAAGCAATTGTGGGGGAGAGTCACAAGTAAAAATTTATTTTTTAAATGTTTATTTTAGAGAAAGAGAGAGCACGTGCATGCACATGTGGGGGAGGAGGAGAAAGAGGGAGACAGAGAATCCCAAGCAGGCTCTGCACTGACAGCACAGAGCCTAACATGTGACTCAAACTCATGAGTCATGAGCCGGAGTTGGACACTTAACCTACTGAGCCACCCAGGTGCCCCAAAAATAACCATTTTAAAAAATCTTTAAAAAAAAGAGCTTTCAGGGCACCTGGGTGGCTCAGTTGGTTAAGCATCCGACTTCAGCTCAGGTCACGATCTGACAGTTTCTGGGTTCGAGCCCCACATCGGGCTCTGTACTGACAGCTCAGAACCTGGAGCCGGTTTCAGATTCTGTGTCTCCCTCTCTCTCTGACCCTCCCCTGCTCACGCGGTCTCTCTCTCCCTCTCAGAAATAAATAAAACATTAAAAAAAATTTTTTTAAAGAGCTTTCAGTGAAATAGAAATTTTTCTGATGATTTTTAAGTGGGGGAAAAAAAAGGTAGAATTCACACGTGCGTGTCTTATAGTAATGTCACCGACACCTAATGCATGGCTTCAAGACGGCACCCGCAAAGGAAATGTGGAACCCTGTGAAGTCTCTTAAGGGTTGATCAAGCTCTTTCCTGATGCCTGTTCGAGAAATAGCCACAAAAGGGGAATGATAGCACACGGCGCACGACACAGCTCCGCAAAGGCCTCTGTACACACATCTTCCCCCCAAGTGTCCCTTTCACCCCACCGGTTCTCTGTGGACCCCCACACGCCTCTCTCGTCCCGTCTCCTGGATCCCCGCTCTGTGCCCCCCTCCCGCTCGCACCCCCTCCATGCAGACCGACCTGGCTGGGTCTTGGCTTCTGCCATCTGGCCCTGCCTCCTCGCCCTCCCCGAGCGGCACTGCAGCAGGCACCTGGCAGCCACAGAACGATTTCTGACCCTGAGGGGCTCTGGCTCAGCTTCCACTCACATCCTACGTGTCACTAGCCACACTGCCAACTGCAACACTGACCAAAAACACTGTGTCCAAAGAGAGGACACAAGTTCAAACTATTAATACAACACAAACAACAAAGTTTGTCAACAGGCCTCACCAAAAAAATAAAATCTTTCTAAAATTTAGATGTACAAAATGTAATCAGAATTCCCAGAAATGAAGGCCAAGAAAGGAAACATACAATGGAAACAGATAAATTTTATAAAACCGTATGTAGTTAGGTGATGAGGAACCAACTATCCTTTAAAACAGAGCTTCTCACAGCCTGGATGGCTCAATCAATTAAGTGTCCGACTCTTGATTTCAGTTCATGACCTTGAGGTTCATGACTTTGAGCCCCACATCGGACTCTGCACTGACAGAGCAGAGCCTGCTTGAGATTCTCTCTCTCCGCCCCTCCCCCCTCAAAATAAATAAACTTTAAAAAAAGAATGTAGCCATCATGTCAAATATTATGAAATTTCTAAACTTTCACTCTCAGCTTCCATAAATTACTTTGTTCAAACTAGTTCTCAAGCTGACACAGGTTCTAAGACCACATTTGAGTAGCACTGCTTTAGGATATACACTGAAAAACATTTAGCCCCACCAGAAATAAAATTAAAAATATAAAAATAACTTAAATGAAGAAAAATAAAAATAATAATGAAAATGAACTGTGATGAAAGTTCATCATGAAATTTGCTTTCTACACTGTTTATTTATTTTTTTTATTTTTTTTATTTATTTCTGAGACAGAGAGAGAGAGAGAAAGAGAGAGACAGCGTGAGCAGGGGAGGATCAGAGAGAGAGACACAGAATCTGAAATAGGCTCCAGGCTCCAAGCTGTTAGCAGAGCCCGACGTGGGGCTCAAACCCACGAACCGTGAGATCAGGACCTGAGCCGAAGTTGGATGCTTAACTGACTGAGCCACCCAGGCGTCCCAATTTATTTTTGAGAAAGAGAGCGAGCAAACTCATGAATAAGAGAGGGTTGGGGGCGGGGTGGAAAGGATCCTAAGCAGGCTCCACGCTGACAGGAGAGAGCCCAATGTGGAGTTCAAACTCACGAACTGTGGGATCATGACCTGAACCGAAGTTGGACGCTTAACCAACTGAGCCACCAAGGGGCCCCATCATAAAATTTAAATAAATTAAAATTAAATTAAAAAATTTAAATTTTTTTAAATGGAAAAATCATCAGAGTTAGCATAATTACATTTAGAATAGCTATCTTATAAACATGGAATCAAAGTGGGGTTAAACCATCTCAGTGTCTAAATTACATCACACATATTTCTCCTCTGATTTCTGATTTTAATGTTGAATTTTTATTATGGAATATATTTGTGAGGAAAATCTAACACATTCAAATCCCAATACACTACACAATCCAAAGAAGAACAGATAATTCAATTATTTGCTATTCTGTTTTAGAAGTAATCCTTTATCTTCTAAAATACTGGGATACCATTGACGGACTCTACAAATTCTAAGGAATTGAAATTTAAAATTTTAAAAAAGGTGCCAGACTAGAAAAGATAAATAAGAAAATCTAATTTTTCCTTCCATGAGAAGGATAGAGGATGGCTAAAAACAAGACATTCCCTGAAAAATGGATCCAATGATGTAACCAATAAATTGAAAGTAAAATGCACTTAAGTGGATGAAGTCAGTAAAAATATAGGTGGGTTCTGTAGTATCACCCAAGTTGCCCTGATGTATGAAAACAGGTGCTAAACAGCCTTGTCACACACACACCCAGGACCTCTGATTCTGGCCACAACAATGTTTTTTTTTTTTTAACAGAGGAGAGTTCCCACCAAAAACAATGGTAAAACTATGTAAAACTACAATTTACCCTCAGACAACACAGGTTTGAACTATGCACGTCCACTTATATGTGGATTTTTTTTTTTTTTTTTTTTTGCAATAAATACAGTACAGGGGTGTCTGGGTGGCTCAGTAGGTTAATCATCCAACTTCAGCTCAGGTCATGATCTCACAGTTCGTGAGTTCGAGCCCCACATCAGGATCTGTGCTGACAGCTCAGAGCCTGAAGCCTGCTTTGAATTCTGTGTCTCCTTCTCTCTTTCTGCCCCTCCCTCCTCAAAAATGAATAAACATTAGAAATATATATAAAAAGGATCCCAGATAAAGGCAAAGCGAAGAATTTTAAGATAAATCAAAGCACTAAAAAGATTAGCTATATGATAAATATAAATGAATACTGACTGGCTAACATAGTAACAATAACATCTCAAAGGTTTAAAACTTATGAAGAAGTAAAATATAAGTAGCACAAAAGGCAGGAATAGATATTTGGAGTGAAATGGCTATGAAATTCCTGTATTGTTTTCGAAGCACACATTTCAGGTAGAATGTAATAATTTCAAAGATGCATATTGTTGGGGTACTCGCCTGGCTCGTTGGTAGAGGATATGACTCTTGATCTCAGGGTCATGAGTTCAAGCCCCAAAATGGGCACAGAGCTCACTTAAAAAAAAAAAGTTTTGGGGCACATGAGTGGCTCAGTTGGTTAAGTGTCCAGCTCAGGTCATCATCTCACAGTCTGTAAATTTGAGAATTTGAGCCTCACATCGCCCTCTGTCCTGACAATGCAGAGCCTGCTTGGGATTCT